CTAGTTCTGATGGTGGATGGGCATATACTTGAAATGTCTTGAATGGAAACGAAAGAAAAACAAAATATTTTCATTATTTCTGTAAATGACATGACATATGTGCTCAACAAGGAAACAATAATACGGACATAATTCATATCTTTTGTTGACTCTGCTAACAGAAACAATGAAAATCATAAACTTGGCTTAAGTCGAGTGTTATTGACCTGTTATTCACACTGTCGTAGTATGACACTTGTAAGGAGTTATCTTACTAAGTGTGGCAGCAACTGAAGACATCACACATTCTTTAACACGTTACATGTAGGGCCTACATGCATCTTGTCTTGGCTGACCATAGATCTTAGAGCAGCGGCTTACTTGTGATGACCTCTGAAGCAAGACTTGAGGTACGTCTGGGGGAAAATCGCAGCTGGTTTAAGTGGTTTTGTTCCACAAAATTATCAAAAGAAAACAAAGCCAACTGTATTATTATCAAGTGATAGCTAAATAAAATAAGCACGACAGGGCATACTTTTCTTTTATTTAAGCGTTGGCGAATAGTGACACACTAGGAGTAATTCATATAATGAGGGGAATTGTTTTGGCCCAGACCTTGGAATTTTGGCAACCAATGCAGCCATTTACAAAATTGTGTGGCAACCAATCATATCTACCTTAAGAGACGAGGCGATTTATTTCACAAGTTAGAATCTTTTTCTTTTCTATTTGCTGGGGGTACCAAATAGTATCTGCGTTTTAACCATGAACTGTTATGCACAATTACTATTATCATATTCATACTTTTGAATACCTTTTCAGCTTTAAGGCAGGTATTAGGTCAGGCTGCGCAACCATTTTATGTGAACCATGTGATCATGCATGTAAACAAATTTACTTCCTCAACCATTGTCATTCAAATTAGACCTGGCCCTTTTATTGTTGTAGTGCACTTGACGAAACAATGCGATACAATCCGATACGATACGACGTACTGTACCCGGGACGAGTGAGACTTTTAGTGCAAAGTTGTTACGCTTAGCAGTAATTCATGATACAAAAATACCTCCCGCTCTAAAAAAAACAAGGCATGGCATCGTGTAGATCATTTGGAGGCTGTGTGGAGGCGTCATTGCTACTTTCCGCTGTCTTCTTTCTTCATGAAGGTAAAAAGAGTTCTTTTTTTTACAAAATGGCTACGAGGAAATAGAAGAAAAGTAATGCACTGGTTGTTATGTGTGATCATTTTGACATTTGGCTGTTGGATTTGATCTTGTCTTCGTCCAAAATGTGCAGGAGTAGGCCATTGGTTCCTTTTGACCGATATTTTTTTTTTAATCTTAAAACCAGCCCTAAACAGTCATGTGGTTGCGAAGGCGAAGAGTCTGCCCTTGTTAGCAAAAGCTAATCCGATTACGTACTTAGACGCTATAGCAGAGCAGTGAAATCCATGCACCACAATAAAAATGGCCTTTTGAACGTTGTGTTTCTCAGGAAGTATGCTCAGTATGATTGAAGTGTTAATTTATAACGGAAGAAGAAATTCTAAACTTCATGTCAGTGGAAAAATTGCCGTCATCGATGCCGAAACGTCAATACTGGTTACTGGTATAGCTGACCTTCAAGTCTGGAAGAAATAGTTCGAAAACTTCCCCAACTCTATTTATTTATATCAATTTCTAGGAATTCCTCCAAATTGTTATTGCACGAGTAGTTGAACACTTATATCATCTAAGTATGTTCCGAATTCCAGTTTAATCTGTTGTCGCAAACGCTAGTGTACACCTTTAACTATCTCCAAGGAAAATTACGGCAAGGATTTTCTCCCGATCCAACCCAAGTGCATTGTTCAGCGAAGCGCCGTGAGCGCTACGGTTTACCGATTCCAGCCAAGTTAAAGGTGTACACTAGCGTATGGTAGATTAGCATATTCATTAGTGTCACTCGGCGTGTTTTGGCGTGGGTCCCGGTATCGACCAATGGAAGCCGGCAAAAAGAGCGAAATGTATCAATTAATAACTCGTAAAGGAGGCTTTTTTTCAATTGTTATGGCACACAATAATTGATAGGAACCTTATTAATAATCGTGTGGCTTGAAAAGATTGACAGATATTGCATACGCCAGTGTTACAATTTTCAAAAATGTATGCAGCCAGACCTATTTTTCCAATTTTAAAGAAAATTAATGAACATTTCACAACGATTTTTAGCACATACTTGGATCATTGGAAATAAATCTTGGAAATAAATCCTGAAAGTTGCGTGCAGATACGGTGTTCCAAACTGGAGAAATTAATTTTCAAAGATTTCATCCCGCGCCATCGTGAACATGTCTGTGTAAATGAAGTTTCATTCAAAGTAAAGTGTTACGTAACATTTAGAAATCACCCTTCGCAACCACAAAGCTATACACAAACATATTTTGTACGAATGAGCTCCATTCAGTCTTTTGAAAATGTGATGGTTGGATAACTTGGATTTTATAGTCACCAATATTATTGTAAGGCCCATGAAAAGGCCATAAGTTGACGGATAAAAAATGGGGGAAAACGAATTAGATTTATTAAGCGATTGAGTGACTGAGGCTGTTGAAACAGTTTTACATTTTTAATGTACATGGACTTAAGTAAACTTTATTAAACGTTTTACAACGAGATTAGTTCAGATTCTGCACAGACAAATCGAGTTAATATTCAACCCATTTGTAATGTATTCCCATGTGGTCTTCAGTGACCTAAAACAATTATGACAAACTGGGCTTCTCCGTGCACTGTCCCATCCTACGCTCATTGTTAGTTTGGTGTTAAAAACGAAAACAGTTACTATAAAAATCACGGCATAATTAACTTTTCATTCTTTTGTATCTTCATATTCTACTTTTCATTGTAGGTTCAGCCGTTGATCTTGATCTGCGAAGCAAGACGGCCAACCAAAGTAGCGATTACGCTGAAAATGGTGTCACCATGGTTGCAAGCCGAGCAATAGATGGAAATGTGTACACACTAGCGCACACGCGTAAATAATTTCTTAAATTTTTTATTTCGTAAATTTAGGAACCAAGAGCCGTTTACCTTTAAAAATGCTGACTTAGAAGGGGGAAAACGGTTCACGAGAAAAATATGGTATGGATTTATTATAACTGTAAATTTCAAATATAATACTCAGTCTCAAACAATGTAAGGGCAATATTTTTACCTAAGAAGACGCGTTTAAAGTGTATATCTAGCCGATATCTGACAGATCGATTTTAATTTTAACCGTGACGCCTACACGTACCTGACAGTATGTTTGAACACTTTCACGATATAAGCCTTTTTTTTCTTTAATTTAAGCAGTCCATCTGATTATCCGTCTGCAAATCTGTCTAAATGTTTGGATCATTGTCCATCCCTCCTTCCAAAAATGTCTTTCCCTTTCTTTTCGGCTATCCTGTACTATGTGTGTTGTTGTTGACTCTTTCCAGTAATAAACCATGAAATGAAAATTCGATGGACGTGGTCTTATTTTGATGCAACATTTTATTTTCATGCAGAGTAACTAGATTTAGGTTTTCCTTTTTTATGAATTCAATTGTTTCCAGTGTGTCGGGGAGACCAATGGTGGAGAGTTGATCTGGGGACTACGTACTGCTTGACAAGAATCACTATGGTAAACAGATGTGTTTATGGTAAGTCTTATGCATCGCGTGTGTGGTTGAATGACAGGGTATATATTAAGTATAATTTAATGGTTAGACAGTTGTCTAACGACCCGTCTCTTGATAAAAACTGATTGACCGACTGTCTTCAATATACCGGCTTTTACAAATAGTTCCCTCTTTCCCGTGGGTAAGAAAGATCATGTGACTTCAGATGAGCACATACTTCAAAGGTAATATATAATCCAGTAACAGTATTATAGTCTAGTCACTCTAGTCGATTACTGGACCTCAGTCCTTCAACACTGTCCAATAAGGAAATGAAGTAAAACCGAGAGCTGTGGCGGGCTCGAGGCCTTCAATGGTGTAGACTTAAGTAGCAATATACTTAACAATACATAGGTAAACTAAATCTATAAAATTAGACCACGACATAAGTTGAATACTTCGTAAACGGGGTGAAACCAGAGGGTGCTAGATTTCCATTATCAAGGATTTTGGGTTCGAAAGAACAATGTCCCAATCTAATATTGCTGCCACTGTTTTGCAGGTCACAGATTAACTGGGGCTGTACTTCGTGCTGGTTTGAGTTCAAATCACTCCCAGAACACACAGATGGGATCTGCAGTCACCAGTGATCAAGCACTTGACGGAGCAGTGATTGATTTTACATCGAATCCGGCCATCTCTGCTCGATACGTTAGTGTGGAACTGTCAGGGACTTGCCTTCAACTGGCTGAAGTCAGGATCAGCACAGAAGATGCCATTACAAGCGGTATTTGTGAAACTTGTCGATACTTAATTATCTCAGTTGCATTCCAAGTCAAAGTGAACGATGATGCAACATTAGCTCATCTCTGCCATGTTGGGTATTTAACGAATAATCTGGACCACATTTTCACTGACAATCCAAGTCTTACTGTGTTGTACATTTAGCTTTGTGCCGTTTCAAAAATGGTTGACACCCAATAGTTGATAAGAGGTGCCTCCCATTTCATATTATATTAGGTACGAGCACATGAAGACACGAAACACAATACACACATGGCCAGGGTTACACAAATTAAGTTAAAAAAACAAAACCAATATTGAAAACGCCTTTAAAGGATTGTCAAAAAGCAGTGGATTGCCAAAATTGCAGTGGTCCCAAAATAAATTCAGTTCGTCGTTTCCATCGGGATTCTATTAGGCTAAACCTAAGAGCTAATGGGGATATTTTGTAGCGTCCTCAAGAACAGATTCTGTAAAGAAGGGTACATAATGTTATGTACTTGTATTATCTAATATCCACATTCATTGTTTGTCCACAGTAAAGCAAACAGCTGTGGATTCCAATAGTATGACAGTCAGCTGGTCTACAGTGACCTGTGCTGTTTATTACAACATGGAGTATGCCCTAACGAACAAGGATAACTGTCAATGCATCAATCAACCAACGTATATCAGTCCCTGCGATATGTGTCCGGGTAACACGACCACTTTAACTAGTCTGACACCAAACTCCCAGTACACTGTACGAGTCAAGGCTTTTGTATACGGTGCATACGGACCAACAAAAACATTAATCTACAGAACCACATCATCAGGTTTGGTCCTTTAGTTTTACTTTTCAGTTGTTTTTTCTTTTATATATGTTTGCTTTTACATGTTTTAAACCAAATAGCGACACTAGCAGGCAGACTTGTAGGGCCGTATGACTCGTGACTCGAGTCTGAATCAAGTCCCATTTTCTGTGACTCGGACTCGGACTTGAGTCACAATGACAAATAACTCGGACTCGGACTCGACCCTGCAGACCTGGACTTAGACTCGGACCCGACTTGGGTGACTCGGGACTCGACTAAACTTACCACAAATCACTTTTTTTTCTCAACAATATAATAACATGACAATCCTCTCCTGAGCAAGCAATACAGGTGCAGACACAGGCCGGGCGTCGCTAGACCATTTTGAATGGGGGGGTGGATTTCCATCATGAAATTTGGGGACGGACCGTCACGCAAAATGTAACTCATTTTCCTCAAATATATCAAAGGCGACTCGTGATTCGGACTTGGACTCGACCAGTAGTGACTCGGACTCGGACTCGATGTCGGGTGACTCAAATACCAGTCTGCTAGCAGAAAGGTGTTGTTTGCTGTCTTTACCCAAATGCAATTATCTAACCTTTAAATAATTGATTTTCTATTACAGCACCGACTAGACCACCACATTTTGTGACACCTGGGTCTCAAGCCGAACGCAGCCTAGCTTTCTCCTGGAGCCTCCCAGCATGTGGAAGCCGAGGCGGTGACATCACAGGATACGTCTATAGGCTTAGTACAAGTGGCGCTGCACCAATGACTGGTCAGACGACAGCGAGCCCCTCTGGTGGAGCAGTTACAATAGATGGACTTACTCCTTTCACTCTTTACAGTTTCAACATTGCTGCACAAACAAATAATGGGACTGGACCGTACAGCGCGGCTATAACATCAAGAACACTGGAAGCAGGTTAATTTACGTTTTTTTCTGTTTGTCGTTAATGCTCGAACTGGTTCGCCTATCTCCGTCGTCTCCTTCTCATTTCGGTTTGATTCTAAGTTGGGAGCGATTGTCTTAAGGTAGTCCGAGCATGAAAAATCCTAGAAACCAAGAATGACAAAAACGCCGATGCTGGAAGACTCTACGCTGGTAAAGACAGTTCGTAAACGCTGATTCAGATGTTTAGGTCCCGTATGCACCCGTTATTGGTTGTTTTCGTAATGCATAAAATGCACGGCACCAACACTTTCTTATCATCGGCAAGATTACTGGAATATTCACTTTTGTTTTCAGTCTCAACAGAGCCCACGGTTCCCTTGGATGTTCGCGTCCTGTCGACAGATGACAGGTCTGTCAGTCTGGGTTGGAGTAAACCAGATCGACCAAATGGACGCATCACGCACTACAATGTTCGCTACTGGAGGAGTGGAGAAATAGGAATCAAACAGACTGACACCAATGTAGTGGGGCTGGTGCATCGTATCCTGGGCCTTGAAGTCGATGTGACGTACCACTTTCAGGTCTGTGTTCCTGTTAAAATCTCATTTATTTCAATACATCCTGAGTAGCTTAAGCGGAACTTTATTCTTCGCTGTTAAAATATCAAATTGGAATTTGGACCAACACTCCAATAACTAACCCGGGGCAAGCTATCTGATTGTTTGAATAGATTTCGAAACACCTGGAACAAAGCATGCATTCCCATGTCCTTGAAAAGTTCCTAGAAATTGTAACAATCTCATGATATTTGCAGGTGCAAGCTGTGACGTCTGCTGGTCAAGGCTATTGGAGTGAACCTATCGAAGCAACGACAACAATCGGAGGTACAGACATTCTATATTCAAGGCCTCCACATTAATTGTAGCCTGAATTAAAGTATTTTATACGCTGAAAGAAATTGTCTTAGAATTAACTTGGTGGTATCTAAATTATACATAGGATCACATGTGTCAAATGTTTATGGGTTTTCTATAATATCGTAGGTGTTGAATGCACACCGCAGTTGTTCCAATTTTTCTGTCTCTAATTTGTAGCATATAATTACGACTTATACGATGATCAGCCTATCACCATAAAAAAACGTAAGGGGATGGAAAAAAAATATTCAGAACAGTGCCCCTGTCTGAACAGATCTGGACAGTCATATCAATGTATAGCCATTCGGGAAAAGAAAAGTTTCAACGATAACAATTTCATTTAAAGATGAAATAGAAAGACTATTCTAACGTTTCATAAAGGTTTGTACACTATGTCAATCTTAAAGAATGCTTCGACAGCGGCTGAAAGTCGAGCACATTAGAATGGAACAATTGTAAAGAAAAACTGTATCAATTACTATTTTGGTGAATTTGTTATCTCGAAAAAAAAATCTACATGTAATGACATCATGGAAATATGACATTTTGTTGTCAGTGCAAAAACCACAAGATGACATTCCATCAGCGAGTGGCAGCGGAAGCACAATTGCTGCAGCGGTGCTTGGTGCGATATTGTTCAGTTTGGTTCTAATTCTTTTCATCGGGTGTGTGGTGTTGAGAAGACGAACCCGCCAAAATACCTCGATGGTACCTGTAGTAACTGTGGAAATGGTAAGTGACTTCTCATTACATGCGATTTAGCATTGCTTTTATTTGTATATTTTTTTTAGCTAGATATGAAATGTAAGTCTAAATTGTTGCAGCAGACCCTCAAACCAATATTGATTTTGTAGCGTAATGGGGATTGTATTGCATTGGTTATTTATACACAAGGGAGCCAAATCTACAACCTACGAAAATGACTCACCAGGTGTTGTCAACACTGATGGCCAGATATACGAGGATGTTGGGCTTCCCATCTGGGCCAGGAAACTGGAAATCAAATGGGAGAATTTGATCATCGATGATGAGATTCTGGGTAAGGGTAACTTTGGCGAGGTCCGGGCAGGAGGCGTGAGGATCGGAGGCCAGGTCACCAAAGCAGCCATCAAAACTCTAAAAGGTAACTGTACTCGTGATTACGATAAACAGATCATAATTGCTGGTTCAGCGGGCCATTCATGTGTTCTCTTACTTCCTGACGTACTTACCGACTGACTGACTCGGTGGCTCGCTCAGCGACTCATCGAAGGTCACATGTGAGCCAAGCAGAGCTATGGACTCAATTACCCTGCAACAACAATGAACGGGCTACACAGACGCATGGAGAGGTTTCAGGGAATAGCCATGATGAACAATTGAATTGAACTGTGTGCGTTCTGCAACCACTGAAGGAGTGACTGAGTGACTAAGTGAGTGAGTGACTTACTGACCGAGTGACTGACTGACTGAGCGACTTACTTCAGTGAATGTCTTAAATCAAGGCTTTTGGTTCCGGCTTGGCAAGCCTAGTGTTGTTCACCAAAACAAGTATTGACAATTTTCAGTTGCCTCTTTATTTCGCAGTTAACTGTGTTTCGTTGGTCTTCCAATAACTGTAACAAATTAGAATGAAAACAGATGTGACTGTTAATAGTCCAACTTTTCAGTAGTCAGCTGAGTGTTACCTGTTTTTCAAGAATGAAGTTTGGAATGTTAGTTTTAAACTGATAGTTGTTCTTTTCTAGATACAGACAGCACCCCTGATGCTGCTATGGATTTCAAGGCAGAGTTGCAGACGATGGTGGGCATCAAACCACATCCCAACATTGTGCGTCTCCTTGGCGCATGTTTTCATGAAGGTATATCCATTCATACTATCGGTATACCAAAGGGGAAAAAGGTTTTGCATTTTTTTTAAACTGCTTCTCCAAAATCAAGACTAGGCTTTTACTAAGGTGGTAAGTAAACCAGCTACTGGAATTAAAATAATATCTCCAGCATCAATCTCATAAAGAAACATATTAACTATTGGAGTTGAAGCTATACATTTTGATACAAGACAACTAATTCTCGAATATTCTAACTTCATAATTGGTGCTTCAAGGTAAACAACACACGATCAAAAACATCACTCGGTTCGGAAGTAAGTAGACATGACGTCATCCTTTTTAATTAAATAAGCCTAAAAGTTAATTAGCCAACCTGACTTTTGTCGATCTCGATTTTGGTAAAAATACTTAGAATCGCATCATGAAGCAAGGCATATTCAAATCCAAAATCACTGTGATTTTTTATCAAAGGCATTCTGTATGTGGCACTGGAGTTTCTTCCCAACGGCAATCTTCGTGATTATCTGAGGAGCATTCGCCCGAAGCAGAGAGGAGCAGGCCAATCAACTGATGGAGCATCTCCGCTGACTTCTTCAAATTTGTTGAAATTTGGCACAGACGTTGCCAAGGGAATGGATCATCTCTCCAAGACAGGGGTAAGAAAGTTCGGAATTGATTTCTTAAGAATTTTAAATATTGTCCGAACTTCAATGATTAGGGAAACTACCACTGTGTTGTGGTTCTCATTAACTTGAGCATTTTGAGCAAGTTTTTCTAATTACGTCATTTTATAAATGCTTCTACAGCGAATATATGTTTTTATCAATATTCCCAAGGATACTTCAAGTAAGGTTTAATTTGAAGCCATTCTAGCTTTAAAAACATTTGGTAAGTACTTTCCTAATGTTCACATGCCATTTAACTCCCGCGATATGCCCAGGGAGAAGGTCCGTTTGCAAAGTTTAGTGTAGTGGTAACATGGGGCTCTGTGCCTTGCTCTGTGATGAGAGTTGGAGGTTCGTCACTAAATAGCCAGATACAACTGCAAACGCTTCATTGTTTTTAGATAATCCACCGTGACTTGGCTGCCAGAAACATCCTTCTCTCTGAAGATCTGACTGCCAAAGTGTCTGACTTTGGCCTGTCCAGAGGAGAAGATATCTATGTCCAGAAATCCTCGGTAAAGTACAGATTCTTCAAATGTAGCTGCATATTTAATTTACGTTTATTGCAAAGGTCCTGGTTTTTTTATGACTAATGTGAGTGATCAAAAGGAGACAAGTTATTATTTTATGACTTAAATTTTGTGGTGAATGATTGAAGAAAGCTAAAAGAATCACTACGTTTAGTGTTAATCAAGCACACAAGACTGGCAATGATTTAACATGGAAGTCACGAGTCTCGGAGGAGATGGTAAGTCTTTCAGTTGTTTAAAGTCTTTCAGTTTGTTTTTCCTTCTGGCAATTTAGTTCGGGAGTTGAATTCCAACAATATTGTCTTTGATTGTAGACCAGGATTCCCGTTCGCTGGTTAGCCATCGAATCTTTGACGAGTCGTGTCTACGAGTCCAAGAGCGATGTGTAAGCAAACGCAACATATTTAACAAAACATTTTGTATGTGTTATCTTTGCGGTGTAAAACTAGGCTAAAGGCCTTCCGTTTTAAAACAAAGAAACCTGGTTATGTAACATACCTGCATGCCCAATATCAAAAAAATGTATATTTAGTCACAACTCGGCCCAATAAGGAAAAAATTATGTCGTCTAACTTTGATGCTTCTCTTATTTCTTCAATTATGTCTACTGATCATCATTCAGGTGGTCGTTTGGCATCTTGCTGTGGGAGATAGCAACATACGGTAAGTTATGTAAGCTGGGATTAAATACGAGTACTTTGCCCTCTCCTGATGTCAATTTCCTGCATATGCTAACACAACGGTATACTACTTTATACAACTTACAACTATTCGTGGATCATTGCTCCTAGGATCTACTCCATATCCTGGTATTGAGAGAAAGTCACTGGCCCAAAGACTGCAGGATGGATACCGCATGCCCAAGCCAGACAACTGCACCGATGAAATGTAAGAACCTACACATACGCACCTTGATTAAAAAAAAACTATGATACTTAGACCTGCTCAGGTAATTTTTGCAGGATATTCTTTTTATTTTTCCTTTTCCTCTTCATTTTTATAACCATTAGTTATAATCTGATGTTGAAATGCTGGCAGGAAGTTGCAAGTAAGCGTCCAACATTCAAAGTACTCTACGACTCTCTCGAAAAAATGAACTGCCACTCAGATGAAACTGTAAGTGTGGTATCTGGTTGAACATAAATATAATGAACATATTTAAAGTTGCGGAACTAACTATTTACTAACGATTTACTCGATTTATTAACATTTACGATAGTTTACACGGATCAGAATGATATTGCATGAATTGATTAGTGTGCTATTTATCTTAGCGTATTAAATTGGACATCTTCCTTGGAAATAATTTCATTGTTTTGTTTAATATTAATAGTTTAACAAAGCAATATCTTTTTTGAAATGTGTAGATTTACTTGGCACCGACTGTCTACGAGAACTTCATCATCAAGCATGAGTTTGATGACAACTAGATGACGTCATGACCTTGACGCTGTCACGTGTCATCTTCAATATTACTCAACCGAGTGGTTCAGCATTGTTTTTCTGATGTTTCAGTAACGAGTTTGAGTGAAAGCATTGACGCAAACTTTCATTTTGTAACAATGTTTAGTGAAACATTTATAACAGCTTAATATGTCATTGTAATTAAAGGATCTTTACTCATAGTTTACACAGATAAGAATGATATTGCATGAATTGATTAGTGGGCTATTTATCTTAGCGTATTAAATTGGACAAATCTTCCTTGGAAGCAATGTATAGTCGAACATTTATAAAAGCTTAATATGTCCTTGTAATTAAAGGATCTTGATTCATTAATGGTTTAGGCTGTTGTAAATCTACAGCAAGACTCGTGTTTCTGCATCTTTATCGAATTTAAATCTCATTGACGGTTTTAGAAAAAAATAGCGAGGACATTACTAAGACATACCGATGTATTGTCTATAGTTGGCGCCTAAATTAATCTTTGGTGTAATGCGGGCATATTTTGAATTGTAAAACGATGTAAAGTTACAACAAGACTTTCCAAATGTTTTTGCATTTCTTATCAAATTTAAAACTGATAGAATAAAACATTGCATTAAATATCGCAGTATGTTGGTTAGAGTGTTGTTTACAATCTCAAAAAGCTGTTGCACTAGATACTATATCATTAAATCAAATGTAATATTGATAGCGAGGACGTTACCATGAATTACCGATGAAGTTGTCTACGCAGGATGGTGCAAAAAGAAGGAAACCCACTTTTGACAGCAATGTTCACCTACTTGTAAAGCATAAATTAAAATATCCTTTTTTGGTATTAAAATCTTGATTTTCAAATATAAGTGACCAAAACAAGTTTACAAATGCGTATTTTGTCTCTGAGATATGGTAGTTTAAAAATGTCATGTGCCAAACCCGTTTGTCCACAGACGGTTTTATTCCATCCGCTTGACTGAGCTCCGGAGCTTCATTTGAAGACAAAAAAACACTACACTAGACTTACACGTGGACAACAGTGATTTTGCTGACTTGTATTCGAATTAGCATAATAACATTATTCTTGCAATTTTTTTTTAAGATATTTTTATCATGTATGATTGAAGACAAATACTTCACGAAATCATAAAAAAGTTCAAATAAGTTAAATAAGTAGGTTATAATTCCTGTCAAAAGTGGGTTTCCTCTTTTTGCACCACCCTGTCACTGACGCCTACAAATAACCTTTGGTATTTAGCGGGGGTATTTTGTATTGTAAAATGATGTCTTATTAACATTATATACTCGGATTAAAATATTACGGCTCAATTGTGTATGTACAAACGAATCTGTAGTGTTTAATCACTCATATGAATGTAAATGAAAACATTAACAATTTCTCCTCGTAAGTCAAATATGTAAGTTTGTTAATGTCGTATTGGAGACTTTGGATCAGTGGCATCTTTGTATTGCCTAATGCAAGTATACTTTTTTATTGTCAATTGATGTGTTACCAACACTATCTACTCAGCTTAACAATATTAAGACTAATATATTATGAATATTACCTGTACATGAAATTGTAATTTTCTATTGCTGACAAATATGTCAAATACGTCGAAATCTACTCTTCAGCTGTTATTTAGCCAAAAACCAGTTCTAGAAATGTTTGGGTTTTTTCAAAGTTGATTTCGTTAATTCTTTAGAGAGATTCATAAGGCTTTATACAGGTTGTCCAAACCAAAACTAATTAATAAAGGTATATTGCATTGGGTTTTGGATTATTTTCAAATTACATCTTAAAGTCTGATAACCAATTACCACACATACTTTATTTCATTCCAATCGATGCATTGGAACAAACGCTATGCTTCATCGAACTCAAGGGTTGAAAATTGTCTTGGGCCACTTTCCTTGAAAGTGAGAGAAAATGGGCCACTTTCCTTGAACATGAGAAACTCTGTTGGAGAAACACACGAAGGAATTTTTCCCTTGTTTTTTTGATCAGTGAAGTACCAAGTTAGCCTTGGGGGCGCTATTTAGGGTGCGAGAATTTGGGAAAATACAAGAGTTTGCTAACTCAAAAGATAAGGGCGCCCTCATATTTGGCCAACCATAAATCAAAAAGGTTTATACCAGGACTTGAGGAAAATAGGAATGAAACAGCCCCACCTAACCCACAAAGGGGGTGGGGCAAAAAGTAAATTGAACTGTCGGAAAGGGGTATAAAACGGGGTTTTGTTCAGCACATTATTATTAAATATATAAACGTCTCCTACGGTGGGAAAAAAAGTTCCCTTTTCCTTTCGCTTGCACCCCCGCCCTGCAAACAGGGCGCTGGGAAGAGCAGATGAGTTTCACAGAATCTTGTGAAGGAAGTTGGGATGGTATTCTGGGTTATTTATCATGACCTATGTAAAAACATCTGGCTGCAGCTGTAGACCGCCGTCTTACTAATGGAGATCAATGTAGACCGCGGTTAGGCAATGCGCGCAAATACAATCCGAAAAGTTTGCCATAGAAATACATATACACCAAACCGGATGTGATTTCTTTTTCATTGCGGACCATGTGGACAAATTGTGAGTGTCGAATGGTATGCATTTCGACCTTTCGTGAATTCGAAACGGAGCCTGAGCAACTGACGGGGGTTGAAAATTGACAAATCAGATAAGTTTTATAGCTTTTTCAACATTATTATGCTTTTCAACCAAAAAAGGGCGTCACATTTATGAATAGGAATAAAAAAAAAATAGCGATGAATGACTCAGTCTTAATGGCCGTTTCAAACCTTGCAGGGTCGTGGTCGGGATGAGTGTAGGTCAAAGGTCACGCAAAATCTAGCCAATCAGAGCGTTAATTCGTCTGCCCTTCCCGGCGTCCTGTTTGCAGGGCGGGGGTACGAGAGAACCTTTTCCTAATTTCCAAAAAATCTGGTCGTTTTATCATCTTTGCCTTACATTTTGAAGGCATATGTTAAACAATAACACATTTTGACTCAAAAAATTTAAAACAAGACAAAATAGAAGAATTAAATTTAGTGTTGGCGCATATATTTTCCAAAGGGCTCGGGAGGCGGGGGAGGGGGGCAACAACAATGCGAAAGGGGAAAGATGTCAAGGACATGATGACTCAAACGCTGAACAAGGAATTAACCCTATTAAGGGCCGGGTTATTTTGACCATCTCTCAGCCGGGGTCCCCCCCCCCCCCCCCGTAAGATATCGGCCATTGAGTGACGAAAAATTTTGAAACTCGGTACATGCAAAGAGCAACTCTTCATAAACATAACCAAGAAATTTCATGACTATAGGTCAAAGGGTTTCGTACTATAGCTAATTAATTATTCATATGTACGAATGGTAATTCTGGTCTGTGTACACGACGTATATGGGAAGGCGCAAGGCTCGAGGCTAAAAAGTCATAACAGCTCGGGTCGCAAAAACTTTTTTTAAGGCTATCGCTGAAAAAGTCGATTGGGGTGGATTTCGCCCCCGGCCCTAATAGGGTCAAGCCATATTTTCCCACCGAGTCTCGAAAACAATAGTACGGACCAGATTCATATCTTTTGTTGACACTGCTAGTTTAAATACGGAAACAATTTTTTTCACAAGTAATATGATCATAGCAAACATTTTTAGTTTGGAAACAGCCATGCAGTTTGGCTGCGTTAAAGGAACTATTTGATGTGATTCTTGTAAAATTGCTCGAAAAAAATACTTCCTCAACCACTGTGATTCATATTAAGCCTGGCCCTAATACTGTTGTAGTGTGCTCTAAACACCCCATGTCCAACCCACAAACGGGGGGGGGGGGGAGAGAAAGTAAATTTAACTCTGGAAATTACGGGAAAGGGGCCTAAACGGGGTTTGTTTTGCACGTTATTACGATGTTCGTTTTTCGAAATTTCCAAAGACAGTTGATGAACACAAATCTCTTTTTCCTTTTTTTCCTCATTTTGGCTGAACTGAGGTAATTTTTTTAAAGAATATCAACATTTGTTGACAACAGATTTAACTTTGGACAAAATAGAAGACATTTATCACTGCATGGCGACATATTATTTGCGAGAGCTCGGCGGTGGGTGGGGTGGGGAAGGGTGGGGAGGGGAGGGGGGGTATGAAACACTCCCTCCCCTGACCAAGAATGGGGAGGGAAGTAAGAAAAATTGAACTTCAGAAACTCCAGGAAAATGGTAAAAACGCAAAGTTTCCGTGTGTAATTTCCGAACGTTGTAATAGTCATGAATATAAAACACCCTCCAAGGTGAGAAATGGTCCCCTTCTCTTCGCTTTTCCAAATTTCAAAGGAAGGTCGACAAACTGTGATCACTTCATCTTTCTTTGCCCTAATTTGATCTAAACTGAGTTGGAAGAATGAAAATAACTTATTTCCGGCTTCATGGTTTTAAATCTGAATCATTTAAAAGACACACAAAAATTGTGACTTTGTTTAAATTTCCTGGTTCAATAGATGACATTGGCATACACTTGAAGATATGTCATGAATGATATATGTACTTGAATGGAAACGAAACAGGAACATATTCTGTTTATTATTTCCTTGAAGGACATGACACATATGCTCAATAAATTTGGCCATATTTGCCAGTTATATATCAAAATTTGGCACTGCCAAAGCAATCATCGGAATCATAGACTTGACTTAGGTTGAGTGGCGTTTTTGGTTTTTATTACTCACCATCCCAATAAGGTGTGTTCACAAATTAGTTCGAGACCAAGTGTCCTTTCCCCGTATGGATTCTATTTGATCTTGAAGTGTGGAAGCAACCAAAAACATTACAAATATTTAAACACGTTATGTACATGGTCATTTGTATCGGTGAATCATCAACCAAAAACCTTAGAGAGAGTGATCACGAGTGAAGTCAGACTTCAGAAAAGTCTATGAAAACTCTGCATTTTTCTACACATCAAGAGGAAACCAAAAAAGACCAGGAAGGTACTATCACGCACATAGAGGAATGGACAAATGAAATGCCGCATCTGTTGATGAATATTAATGAGGCAGGGTAAAACCAAATACAACATGTTTTTGCGAGGAAATAGTAATAATGATCCCTCAGCGCTGGCTTCGCCTCGGGAGATCAATCCAACATCTGGGGGTCATTAGTTTTCACTTTTTCCTCACATTGTATGTTGTATTTTTTACACTAATACGACACGGCGAACTGTACCCGGGAAGAGTGGGGCTTTGAAGTGCAAATCTGTATTCCTTTTCATAAACTGATAATACAAATAAAATCTCCAGCCCCGCAAACCAGCCAGGATGTCGTGGAGACTGTGTCGAGGCTCTCTGGAGGCGTCATTGCTACTTGCCATTGTCTTCTTTCTCCATGAAGGTAACCATTGTTCTTTTTTTCGGGTGGGGGGCTACCAGGAAATTGAACAAAAATTGCACTAGTGATTAAATGCGTTCACTTTTACGCAGACCTATACCAAAAGTCACGCGTCCGGCCCAGAGTCAATTCACACATACATACACATGTAACTTTGTAAACACCGGCAATCGTGGACCCCTATTGTCCCTCATCTTCGTTTCTTTGTTTGTATTATAAATTTTAGCAATAGCTCTATCAGTTTGAAGTTGTACGTACGAACACCAGTTAAAAAAATGCAATTAAAACACTCACGTTACTTTCTGTCATTACGATTGTGGACTTTCGGTCAATCGTGGACGTTTTGTTTGTGTCCTAACCCTTTTGTCCAATTGTGACAATTACAACTTCCATTTGCGTGGTGAAACCATGACAATGAAGTCTATGTAATAGACCTTTGTGAAGCGATTCGGCTATGAAACACAAAAAAATGACCGCATCTTGACATCAAGATTCGAGGTAAGTTGTGAACAGTTTCTTGGGGAACTTTACGAGTTTCCTGTGCAGTGGGCCAGATGGTGCGCGATACACTGCGCAGTGATTGTCATCTTTATAGTCATGTTGCGTTTTGTCGTTGTCATCGTCATTTTACCCCTCAATTTCCCTCAAAAATTTAAAACCCTGCCCTTTATCTATATGTTATTCCTGTATATTCTTAATGTCGCCAACTAGTTTGGTAGGATAAATATTTTAAAAGTGGATTTTGATCCCCTATAGGGACCAGGCACGTAGATACACGATCACCAAGATTCTGACAATTCAGCGGGCGCTTTCTATATCGGGTCTTCGGTTATATACTCATTAACCATAAAAAAAAAGACCGGGGGCGGAATCCGCCCCCCCCCCCTTCGACTTTTTCCGTGATAGCCTTTAAAAAAAAAATTTCGCGACCCGAGCTTCCATGACTTTTTATTCCGCCCCCCCCCCCCCTTCTAAGATCTCAGCCATCAAGTGACATTTTTTTTTAAACTCAGCATATGCATAGAGCAACTCTTCCTAAACATACCCAAGAAATTTCATGACCAAAGGTTTTTGGAATTATGGCTAATTAATTATTCCTATGTACGAATGGCAATTCTGCTCTGTGTACACGACATATATGCGAAAATTCAGTTTTCAAGGCGCATAGCGCCGGAATTTTTTTCGCTACGCGGCAAGCCGTGGTCCGATTTTATGTTTTTGGTATCAAAAGATGCGCAAAGCTCGAGGCTAAAAAGTCATAACAGCTCGGGTCGCGAAAACATTTTTTAAGAAGCTATCGCGAAAAATGTTGAGGGGGGGGGGGGGTCCGGAATCCGCCCCCGACCCCTTTTGGGTTTAAACGTGTTTTTGTTCTATCTGACATATTCGAACGTCGGTTTTTCCAAACTCTCCGAACACCGAATGGTTTACGGTCCAGATTGTGTACATCCTACGTATTATTGTCAGAAATATTTGTTTTCGTCTCTATGTAAGATTTCCATCGATTTACTTTTCATTTGTGATTGTAGGTTCAGCCGTTAATCTATATTTGCGAAACAAGCCGGCAACCCAGAGTAGTACCTACTATAGTCGTGATGACGGCGTCAGTCTGATTGCAGACCGAGCATTGGATGGAAATACGGACACACTTGCACACACACGTAATGAATTAAATAATATTTTTCAATTGATTGAAATTAAAATAAAAAGGGACCTGTATTTCGAGTAGTTTCACAAAAATTATACTTAATAAGAAAACGTGTATACTAAAAACGGTCATTATGAGAAGACGTTTTGGCACAGTCGCAGTAAATGTTTGTAATATTAATTTTCTTTATAATGTTTTGAGTAAACAACTATGTTTGACCACTTGACAGACTCTCAAAATAGAAAAATATAAACAGTATATTTTATGCGATACAATGTTGCAAACCATTCAAGCAAAATGATTTTGCCTCAAAGAAGACGCGTTTGAAGGACATGGGCGTTGCGAAGGGCAAGGGGGTGCTCCCCCCCCCCCCCCATCCAGCAAAACTCAAAAAGGGGGGAGAAAGAAAACAAAAAGGGACATAGTTAAATTACTGTTATGGGTTGGGGGCAAATGTCCCTGCTCACTCTCCAAACATGATAATTCGAAAATATGCTGGAAAAATGCATTGGTTTTGGGAGAAAAATGTGCTTTGCTCCCCCCCCCCAGAATAATGCATGCGACGCCTACAAGCATGCCGTGTGGGAACTAGGACAAATCGCTCTTTTCTCACTCCTCCATGAGGCATGCAGAGCCTCGATCTGGCAACCTTACACAATAAAATTGCCGGTTCAATGATCTGAACCACGACACGGGAATCACTGAACCGGCTTTAGTAAAGTTACCGGGTCGAAGCTCTGCATGCCCATGGCGGAAGTGTGACAAGAGCAAATAGTTCAACCTTGTATTCGTAATATGCCTGACATTATATGACGAAATGTTTCATAATGATAATAGCATTTCTGATCTTTTGTTGAAGAAGTAAATCATCTGTCTCCATATCTGAAGATCTTTTACAATAATCACAAATGACCTACAGATCTTTTTCTTTCCTCCTTCCAGCAATGACTTTTTCCCTACCTAGTTGTAGTCACTTGTTGCATCTGTTTACAAGTGGTAAACCCTAACTCCAATGTGGCCCGGTAATATACTGACACATTGCCATATTTGAAGTAACTTATTTTTTTTTTATATAACTTGAAAAGTAACTAGATTCTTATTTCGTTTTCATATGTCAATTGATGTTTTGCCAGAAAGAAATGGATACCAATGGTGGAGAGTTGATCTAGTCGATGCGTACTGCCTGACTAGAGTCACTATCGTCAACAGAGATGATTATTATGGTAAGTCTTCCAGAGCAGCATGCCTATACGTAACTAACTATAGGTTCATGGGTGAATAATGACCGCAACAGACCTTATGCTTAGCGGCCATTTTAGAGGGCATCTATTGTAAATAAGATGTACTTAATATGTTTAGCGTCAACCTCGCTTCCAGGGTGTCGAACAGTACGCTCCTACCACTACCCGCTCTCTCACCCTGGTATTGGATCATTTGCATATCCAAAAATGTTGGATACGTATGCAAATGAGGAATAGTCGCGGTTCGTTTTAGGTTAAAATGTAACAATCTTATCCCGCCAATATGCAATATAACTTTTCATATTCGTGTGACCAAATTGGAAAGGAAATGATTATTTTTGAGAATGTGTGGACAATAAACGTGAAAACACGTAATACACGTTGGAAATAACAACACCAAGTACACGATATAAATCCATTACCATCTACTTGTGCTATCAAATCAGGATACTTTTGTTAATAAGAGTACTTATTCATAAGATGTTTTATAGTTTTCCTTATTAGAAGCGCTGCGTGACTGATACTAAGCAATCCCAGATTCACTTCAATCCCTGCCTCCCTCAAAAAATTGCCCCAACATTATGATGTAGCCATTTTCTGCAGGGAGGCGACTTACAGGTGCTGTAGTTCGTGCCGGTTTGAGTTCAGTTCGCTCCCAGAATACACAGATAGGATCTGCAGTCACAAGTTCGCAAGCAACTGAGGGAGCAGTGATTGATTTCACATCGAACCGAGCCATCACCGCTCGATACGTCAGTGTGGAACTGACTAACAATTTCCTTCAACTGGCCGAAGTCAGGATCAGCACATCAAACGTCATTACAAGCGGTAAATATGAAACCTGTCTATGACTTTACTCAATAACCTCAATTGCATTCCAAGTCATAATGAACGATTATAACATTGGCACCTCTGCCATGTACGTGACATAAAATAGTCTGCACCACATTGTCACTGACAAACTAAGTATTACGATCTCATAATTACGATCACATACAGTTGACAACCAAAGGGTGATAAGAGGTGCCTCCCGTACTGATTTGCAGTCGTTCAAGAGGTTTCAGTTGGTCCAAAATAGTCGAAATCAGTTCCACGTTTCAATCAGGTGTTATGGCTAAACCGCAGGGCTAATGCAGGGTATTTAAATGTCCCAACAAACGAGAACTATTCTGTGGACTCATTCACTGTTCCTGTCTAAACACTGTGCTCACGTTGAGCTACTAGTACCTGAAAACATTTGTTAGTTTGCAGTCGAAGAGGCAGACTGACTTTTTGGAAACCACAAATTCCATTTCTATAATTTAACCCTGTGGTTTGATGAATTGTAAACGCACATGATTATTCAAACCGTGTTTTTTTGCTCTAATGCATGATTCATGGTTTATTTTCCATGTGCGGGGAAAATTCCCTCACCTTAGCCAGAAGGGTGAAGGTGTCGAAACGTCTTAAAATCATCGACAGAATTGTACCCAAAACGGTTTGTCCTTAGCAGTTGAACTTAATTATTTCAGTTCATTTGGTATTAGCGATATTAACAACCCGTGCCTTAGGATAAGGAGTGGTTTGTTCTAAGTCTACAAGAGGGAATGGCTATAGATAAGAGAAGAATGAAATGGGCATTTCTTCTTATGCAACTACAAGTCTTTAGGCCTATGTACTTTCATCATAGCCATTATATTGGCATGTTGGCATTTTCAAGTAATTGTATGTGCTGGTATTTAATATCCACATTTTTTTTGCCACAGTAATGCAGACAGATGTGGATCCCAATGGTATGACAGTCAGCTGGTCAACAGTGCCCTGTGCTGATCATTACAGCGTGCAGTATGCCCTGACCAACAGGGATCGTTGTGAAAACTTCTACATGTATTTCCCAACGTATAGTAGCCGCTGCAGTATGTGTCAGGGAAGCACAACCACTATAACCAGTCTCACACCAAACTCCCAGTACGCTGTACGAGTCAAGGCTTCTGTATATGGTGCGTACGGACCAACAAAATCAGCACGTTTCACAACAGCAGCATCAGGTATGACACTAGGTTTAACCCTTCCTTTTTTCCTTTTTTTGTTTTACTTTTATAACATTTTGTTACATAGTTAAGATATCTTTAAACAAAATAGCGACAAGAGCAAAAAAAATGAAGAAGAGTATTCTTAATTTAAAAGGCGGTAACTAACCTAAAGGTTGAACTCCGAGGTAGCTCAGGCTTTTCCTACGTGCCACACGGTTTCTCTATAATGAGCTCATTGTATCCAGGTGTTTACTCGAATACAATAAGGCCTACTAGACCTTTTTTATACTTTTGGTATTAATTTTCCATTGCAGCACCGACTGGACCACCCACTATTGTGACACCAGAATCTCAAGCCCAGAGCAGCCTAGCCTTCTCGTGGAGCCTCCCAGCATGTGGAAGCCGAGGTGGTGTCATCACAGGATACGTGTATAGGCTTAGTACAAGTGGCGCTGCTCCAGTGACTGGTCAGACTACAGCTGGCTCTGGTGGAGCAGTTACAATAGCTGGACTTACGCCCTATACTTCTTACAGTTTTCAAGTTGCTGCAAGGACTAATGATGGGACTGGACCGTACAGTGTGGCTGTAACATCAAGAACACAAGAAGCAGGTAATCTATGTTTGTCTTTCCTCAAACTCGTTCCAATAACTCCGTCTTCTCCATTACGTATAATCATATCGTTTGTCTTGCGTTGTGTATGGACCCAGCGCAAAAGCCCATCTTAGAAAAAAAATCAAGGCTCGAAACCTGGTGAAAACGACAGTTTTAATTTCGTGTACGCACTCGTTCTTGGTTGCTTCTCAGTGCAAGATACCAATACCAGCTGCAAGAACAACTCCAATATTCATTTTGGTGTTTGATCTTTACAGTGCCCACAGTTCCCCGCAATGTTCACGTCCAGTCAACGGATAACGCTTCAGTCAGTCTGAGCTGGAGTGAACCAGATCCACCGAATGGACGCATCACACACTACAATGTTCGCTACTGGAGGAGTGGGGACATGGGAACCAAGAAGACTGACCCCAATGTGATGGGGCTGATGCATCGTGTCACGGGCCTTGAATCCGATGTGACGTACCTCTTCGCGGTATGTTGAATTGTATAAATTAGAGTGAACTATTATCATTCAAAGACAAGTGGCGTAAATCTGTCCAGGGACTGGGGAGACTGGGGGAGGGGTGGGGATTACTAAAATCCACAAATTGCCCGGCCGTTGTAACTCAAAAACCAAGGGGGAAGGGGCTTGCTGGACACCTTATGACACTTGGGGGCACTGTTCATGACACTAGGGGATGTTGTAAATGACAGTTGGGGGCGCTGTTTATGATACAGTTGTGCATATTATGTATACTTACTCCCCTTAACCTTACTCCAAACCGGCGCATTTAAAGCTTTTTTACTTTTTCTCCCCTTTTCAGTACTATTGAATACATAAAGGTTGTTGGGAAGTTCGAAAATCAGCCTACCTCAAAACCAAAGTTTCTCACCACGCAAAAAGTGAGGGATAAACCAACAGTCCTTCCCCGCCCCAGGTCAAAAGTTTGGGGATTTTTACCCTCCATCCTACGGGGAATTACGTCCCTGTTACAAGGGGATTCATGTCGCAGAAAGTAATTTCTTCCAACGTGAAGCTAAAAATAATAAGTCGTGTCGTTAACGTTCCGAATCATTTCATGGCAAACATGAACAAACTCACCCTGCTAAATGAACACAACAATCGAAAACTAGGAATTTTTGTAAGCTTGTTTGTTTGCCTACTGTTTTACGATCACTTTTGAAGCAAGTTGAGTTATCGCAAGTAACTTTAAAACGATTTTATGTGCAGTTTCGAATTGCAATAAAATGAAAGATTTTGAAATGATTTGTACAGGTGCAAGCTGTGACGTCTGTTGGTTCAGGCCCGTGGAGTGAACCAATCGAAGCAACTCCAACCAGAGGTAGACTATCAAAAATAAATCAATGAAAAAAAAACCCAAATGGTCCTCTCAAGCCGATTTCCTTATTCAGACATGTAATCAATTATCACATAATTTTAAATGTCTTTTATTTTACTGATCGATATACATATTGCTTCAGTGGTATTTTTATCAAAACAGTGAACAGATCGTTCTGATGTTTTATATACAAGTATAACGTTCACATCATATTGTTCTAATGTTTACTATGATTTTCGCAGTTCCTGGACCTGTTGGGAATCTTAACTTCACAGAGAGGACAGAGACATCTATCACTTTGGTCTGGGACCCACCACTACAACCAAGAGGAGCCATCACTGGTTACATAGTATGTACATACAAGCATCTATTTTTCATTCAGGAAGAGGCTGTATAACTTCCTGTCTGACAAATTGTCACAGCAGCCACGCGGTGATAAAATTCTCCACATTTTCCAAATATGGGCTTATTTTTTTTTCAATGGGTCATTTAGGCCAAGCTTTCATGTGATCCTCACCCCTACTATACACCACAAGCCTGTAGACCCCCATTGGCCAGACCTAGCCACTCCGGAGTAAAGAGTGTTGAAAGACAGAAGCCAAGATGGCGCCTAATGCCTTTGTGCAGTAATTGGAGATCTTAGTGGCCAACCCCTAAGTGCCGCCGATCCCTTTGTGTCAACCCCTCGTGCCGCCCAGAGCTCACACAGGTTGTGAACAATCCCTGGCCATGTGAATGACCTATATCTTGCACATGTACAGGCATACCAGGGTTATTGACCTATAAGCACATGTGGTGATAAAACTCTCCACGTGGTTCCACCGCGTACATTTTTAATATTGTTGTCTTAAATCAAAAGCAAAATCCATGAATACAATCTTAACATACAGTACCTGAATTCGACATTGAATTTTCCTTTTGTTAGGTTGAGTACCGTATCTTGGAAAGGCCTGATGATCAACCAGACTTCACAGCAGAAACCAAGGAAGCTCAGAATTCACCCTTCACAATAACCAACCTGGAACCTGGTACTAAATACGAGTTTAGGGTGCTTGCGAAGAACGAAATGTTCACAGGAACAGAACACCGAGTGTTGGAGGTTTACACGAAGCCGATGACAGGTACAATCTAATTATTATTACCATTGCGTACTACCACGAAGCATATGTGATTATAAACGGCCTATAAAATAATATGCCCTTTGGGGACTAGTGAAATATTATCTTGTTCGACCTCTGCATGACAAAAATGGAAATTGAAAATTGAATATTTTTTTTAAACCTGGATGTGAATCAGAGAGAACAAAATGTTTACAGAATTCCAAAACTTTACAAGTGTGTACAAAGCCAAAATCGTTATCAATATCAATCGATGATAAACAGCAATATAAATATTTTAAAAAATACTGACTGCTTCTACTGTACTTGAAAAAGAAACAAGGTCAGATTGATTCCAATTCAACTTTAAATCTTATACATGTATAGAGTCATTCTTACAAAATATATTCCAAACCACTGCGGTCACCTGTACGCATAATTATTGGGGGTTCTTTACGGAACAACAAAAAAGGTCAAGTACTGTGGAAATACTTTATCAAATTGATGATTTGTTTTTTGTCAGTGCTAAAGGCAGAAGATGGCATTCCTCCTGCGAGTGTCAACGGAAGCATTATTGCTGTTGCCACGCTTGGAGCAATATTTTTTGGTTTGGTCCTAATCATTGTCATTGGGCGTGTGGTGTGGAGAAGACGAACTCACCAAAATGACCCAAATAGTTCTCTAGTATCTAGAGCGATTGAGATGGTAAGTGACCTCTCATGACTGAGATGAGCATTGTATCTTATTCACGAGATATGGTTTCAAAACTTTCATGCTTTTTAAATGAGCTGATAATGTTGGCAGTTAGCACGAAGCTAGATGACTTCATAGCTATCGTGAGCCTAACACCTAACAAGCATTTCTCTAGTTTCTAGTTTGTATTTTCCCCTGATCATTTGAGGTAACGAACTCAAAGGTTATTCACATACCTACAATCGTTCTTAAGATGTAAATCAAAAAGTGATTCAGGAGTCCGCTGAATGAAATAAGGATTTCAAAGCATTGTCTTTATTCCCGAGGTTGACAGACCTACAACCTGCGAAAATGACCCACAAAGTGCCGCCAACACCGATAACGAGATATACGAAGATATTCTGCTTCCCGCCTGGGCCACGAAACTGGAAATCGAATGGGATGATTTGATCATCGATGATGAGATTCTTGGTAAGGGTAACTTTGGCGAGGTACGGGCAGGAGGCGTGAGGATCGGAGGCCAGGTCACCAAAGCAGCCATCAAATCTCTCAAAGGTAACTGTACTCATGATTAGGATAAACACATCATAATTGCTGGTTCCAGAGGGCCAGTCCTGTGTTCTGTTACTTCCTGATGTACTCACTAGCTGACTCACTCAGTGACTCAGTCAGTGACTCACTGAATGTCACATGTGAGCCCTAATTGTGGACTTCATTACCCTGCAACGACCACGAATGGGCTTAACAGATGCATGGAGAGACATGAGGGAGTAACCATTCTGAATCGACTGAATAGACCTTTGTGCGTTCTAAAACCACTAACTGAGTGACTGAGTGACTTGATTTAGATAATGTGCGCAACCAAGGCGTTTGGTTCCAGCTTGGTAAATACAGTATCATCCAATGAAGAATTAACAGTGCTCTGTTGCTCCCTTTTGGCAGTTACTTGTGTATTCCTAGGTCTTCAAATATCTACCCTCCATCCCATAATACCGTAACACGCCTATACAAATATATGAGGTTGAAAAGTGATGAGACTGTAAAACAGTCAAGCCTTTAGGAAGTCCGCTGAGTGTTATCCAAGTCAAGCATGAACTTTGGTTTGACGGTTTGCTTTGAAAGTTATTTTTGAGAATAAATTTTGCCTCTTCCTAATACAGACAGCTGCACGTCTGATGCTGCTATGCATTTCAATGCAGAATTTCAGACGATGGCGGGCATCAAACCACACCCTAACATTGTGCGTCTCCTTGCCGCATGTTTTCATGAAGGTAAACCATTGATAATATCCCAATACCAAAGGTCAATATTTCACTTTTCAAAAGTGCTTCTCAACAGTCAAAAGTGCTCTTTTGCAAGGTTGGAAATAAACTAGCTCCTTGAATTAAATGCCTTCTTTGTTTCATTCGAAGTTAGAATTTACACATTTTGATTAAGGACATCTATGTATTTTGACTACTCCAACTTCGATTGTGCTTAAAAGTTAACAACGTACGAACAAAAACTTATAACGGCTTACAACTATGCATGATGATATACTTTCAGGTAGAAACCCTAAGTTATTTACCGGACATTTGTCGATCTGGATTTTGGCACTCGCACGTAAAATCACATCACAGATTAAGGCATGTCAAATCCAAAACCATTGTTATGTTTTTATCAAAGGCATTCTGTATGCGGCACTGGAGTTTCTTCCCAACGGCAATCTTCGTGATTATTTGAGGAGCATTCGCCTGAAGCAGAAAGGAGCTGGCGACTCAAATGACGGAGCATCTCCGCTGACTTCTTCAAACTTGTTGAAGTTTGGCAGAGACGTTGCCAATGGGATGGTTCATCTTTCAAAGACAGGAGTAAGAAGTCTATTCATTAATTTCGTGAGACAATCCAAAATTATTCGACCTTCTGTGTACGTTTCAATACCACCGCTCTATTATCAGCATTTTATAAATGCTTCTATACAGTTACGTTAATTTGAATAAAGGTTCCCAAAGAAAGTCGGAAAAAGCTTGAATTTGAAGCCATTCAAACTTTAAAATGTTTGGTCAGTGCTTCCTCAATGTTCGTATGCCATTCAATCCCCACCAAATTCCTGGAGAGAAGTCTAGAAACAGGCTGAGGCTTGGCGCTTAATGTTCGTTTTAAAACGTATCCTTCTTTAAAGATAATCCATCGTGACTTGGCTGCAAGGAACATCCTTCTCTCTGAAGATCTGACCGCCAAAGTGTCTGATTTCGGCCTATCCCGAGGAGAAGACATCTACGTTCAGAAATCCTCGGTAAAGCAGACATTCCTGATATGTTTTTAACATTTATTGCAATTGTTATTTATAAATAATGAAGATCTACAAGAGAAAGGTAGTTAGTTAAATATACTGTGTGGTAAATGGGAAACGATAACATAAGAATCACATACTAATATACCGATTAAGTCACGGGTTCTGAGTGGAGTTTGGGGAAGTTGGTAGGTCTTTCAGTATCTGTCTGGAAATTAACTTCTTAAGTTGAATTCAAACAATATTTTCTTTGATTGTAGACAAGGAATCCCGTTCGGTGGTTGGCCATCGAATCTTTGACGTGTAGTGTCTACAAGTCCAAGAGTGATGTGTAAGCAAACGTAACAAAATTTCCTCAGTGAATTTGGGATTCGTGCAGTGTTTATTTATAAGTGTTATCTCTTTAGTGCCGCACACAAGTCGGCTACAAGTCTGTTTTTCAATTGTCCTAAAAAGAAAGTTGTGTCGTATAAGCTTGCATAATGAATTATCAAACGAAACAATTGCTGAAATTGTCATGTTTATCTTTAAGGTGGTCGTTTGGCATCTTGCTGTGGGAGATAGCAACATACGGTAAGTTATTTAAGCTAGGATTGTGAGGACTTTCTCCTGATGTAAATCAACTGCACATGCTAACAGAATAGTACTACTTTATCCAATATATAACGTTTAGTTGATCTTGCTTTTAGGATCCACTCCGTACCCTGGTATTGCAAGCGAGTCACTGGCTCAAAGACTGCTGGATGGATACCGCATGCCCAAGCCGGACAACTGCACCGATGAAATGTAAGAACCTAATAATACACACTTTGATTTAAAAGGGAAAAAAGGCAAAAGGTTCCCAATGTAAAAGATCATTAACGGTACTTCCTTAGACGACTATTGAATGAACAGACGATACCTAGACCTTTTATGGAACTTAGATTTTCCCTTTTCGTTTTCCTTGTAATATTCTCATACAGTTATAAACTGATGTTGAAGTGCTGGAATGGAGTTCCAAGCAAGCGTCCAACCTTCAAAGTATTGTACAATGCTCTCGAGAAGATGAACTCCCAAGCGGATGAAAATGTAAATGTGATATTGAGTTGAACAAATATTTCATGGACAATCTACAGATACAGACCTAATAATATCATATGCATATCTAACCAAAATTTACGATACACGTATCTTTATAAGAATATAACGTCAGAAATCTTAATTTCCGCTATGTCTGTCAAAATTGAGATCTTTCGTCTTTGGTAGGAAAAGGACTTTGCTTTGTTCAATCTTTGAACAATTCAGCATTTCCATATCTTGTTGATTTTTGTAGGTTTACATGACTCCGACTGTCCACGCGAACTTCACCATCAAGCATGAGTTTGACGACAACTAGATGACGTCATTACCTTGACGATGTTACGTGTCATCTTCGAAATTAGTCAAGCGAGTGGTTCAGAATCTTTCCTGATTTGTAAGTGTCGAGTTTGAGTGGATGCATTCACGCAGACTGTTATTTTGTAATGTAATGTAAAGTAGAACATTTACAGCAGCTTTTGTCCTTGTAATCAGCGGGTCTTTTACGTCAGTCAAGATTTAGCCTGTTATAAATTTAGAGCAAGATTTACTGATTTTTTTTTTTTTTGCATTTCTTATTCTGATCGAATTTCCAATTCATTGACGGTTTTAGAATAAGCCTTTAAATTTACAGACATTTTAACGTTATATATTGCTATTCTGGACATTATTTTGTTTTCGTGTAGAAAAACCTGTAAAAAACAGTCATCTTACTCACACTGTGAAAACGTTTTCAACCAAAATGTTTTTTTTCTATGATGTACATTAGGTTGCACATCGCAGTATGTTTGTCAGAGTGTTGTTTATAATCCCAAACGCATTTCGCACGAGACCATGTTTCATTTAATCAACGCTTATATTGTATAGCGAGGACGTTACAATGGAATGCCAATACACTGTGTATAGTTCTGTTGATGCCTAAAGCATTTAACCTATGATGTAACCCGGGAATATTTTGTATAGTAAAATAATGTGTTATGGACATTATCTACTCAGACTGACAATATAAGGATCAATTGTGTATGTACAAACGAATATGGAGTTTTCAATCACTGTTATCAGTGTATTAGGACAATCTACAACTCATGTAGTTGTTAGTACAGATAGAGTACTACCCTTATGTAATATTTGTAAAATACAGGGCCACGGTGTGTCAAAACAAGAAGTAATCCAAAAAGAATGGGTAAACATGCAGGTATAAGTAGTAATATGTAAATTGTTGAATAAGTGGTGAGTTAAGACGTCAGAAGAATACGCTGTCGTTGTTGACAGTGCATTAAGATGGGACGTTTTGCATATATTGTTGCTTATAATGGTACTTCATGTTATCCATAAATAATAAATCATTCCAAAGATTTTGTTTTTCATCACAACTAGCAATCCAATTTCAAAATTTCAAAAATATAATAATATCTTCCGATGGGCAAAGCCAAGGCTATGCTAAGTTGGGCCGACACCCAAGTTATGTTCTGAGTACATTTTTGCAATAGGTAGTTATTGTTTTATTATTTGTTTTTTAATGGTTAAAATTATTGGTTTTATCATGAAACAAGATATTCAATTGATGCTCAAATAGTGTAACAGGTTTGCCTCCTCATTCAACACATAATCCACTGCGACTGCACGCCTTTTGGACAGCTCAATTCATCACTGACTCAGTCAAACTTGAAAAAAACTAGATTTTTTGGCCTTGTGATGTTGGAAAAATCTCTGGAAGGATCAATCATTCATGGACAAGATTATATTATGTACCATTGTATGCACCGACATCTTGAACATACCCCTGTTTTGATGCACTCTCCACAGCGGCATTGTTCTGACAGCTTAACTCACCACTTATTAAACAAATTTTGGGGGAAAAGATGATTAGTGGTCTTTGTTTTGAAATCAATGGTGCTCGGTCATCCGTGACTTAAGACATAAAAATAGGACATCAATGAAAAGCTTATGAACTACCCCATTAGATTGAGCCAATTTGACAGTGTTCAGGTTCATAACTGTTACATATTAACCCATTATTTGTGGAATACCTTTTTTTATACACCCTGTATAGTAACATTTGGGAGACATTTGTCAAGCTTCATACGTAAGTGTTTTTATATCACATTGCAGACATTGGATCAGTAGCCTCTTTGTATGGCTTGATGCATTTACTTTTTTATTATCAAATGATGTTAACAGTAAGGCTAAATGATACATAAACATGAAAAAGTAATTTTCAAGCAGTGAAGAATACTTAATTTTACTTCTCAGATGTTGTTTAGGCCAACACATTTCACATGTAATTTCGTTAATTCTGTGAGAAAGATTCGAAAGGCTTCATGTATTTTGTAGCGTATTTTGAAATACGATTTTTCGACAGTTTTTCCAATGTAATCTCAACATTTTAAATCTTTACAATTATTTGTAGTCCAAAATTGAGCATTTTTATAAGAATTATAGTTTGTCAGATTGATTAGCTTTTGCTATGTGACAACAGCGACTGACTTAAGACGTTTCATTGAATTTAGGATTTTGTTGACTTTCTTTCGATTGTTCTACATTCGATGTCCTTTTTTTGCTGAGAATCCATATTGACCAAACAAAAACAGGGAAAAGAGCACCTTTTAGTGAAAATGTGAGATCACGTTTTTAAACTTTAAGTTTAATATATGTATGGGCTTAATTATATATGTAATCGATAACAGATCAAAATGATAGGAATGCTAAAATGAAAAAAAAAGTTGCTTCCATCGAAAAACGAAGTATTCTATTATTTTTAGCCTGTATATACTCTTCCAAAACTATTGCGTAAATCTGAAGGTGGGATGGGAAGGTTACTTTTTGACCAGAGGGGATGAGCGAATCATCCCGCCCAGATTTGTGTGGTGAGAAACCAAACATGCCGAGTTTGAGCTTATCTTGTAACTTTTTTTAACAATCCAAATAATCATATGAAATAATTCTGAAATATCATCAGAAGAAACATTACAAAAGGTTCAAATGCACCGTTCTGATGCAAGGCTATGGGACGTAAGGGCGCAAGTTTGCAGAAATGTTCATGCGTACACATTTTTTATCATGAACTGTGGCCTCTAATGTAGGTGGTGTTCAGCACCCCCCCCCCCCCCGCCTTTCGAATATCCATGGCGGGGGAGCGCAGGAATTTTGTTCATCCCCCTCCCCCACACGCCGACACGGATTTCAGCCACCGTCGAAAACCACAAACGCAAACATTGGTTTAGGGAAGGAATAATATATATTCTCCGATTAAACATTCATTTCATCGGTTGTAAAGGTCGTGTAGTTTTGTCAACGGTTTCATTGTACGTTTTACGAATAAAATAAATAGCGCCCTCTAAATAATGATAATAATATTCGATTCCTCAAAGCGTTTACAAATAGAACGAGGAACACACCCAATTTAAAAGCCATGAAAGCTATGGGCAGTTAATTTTGAAGTGGTGACTTCTTGCACAGGAAATTGTAGATTAAATTTCGTGACCCCATATCTTTGCGCTCTTAGTTTTGTTCTATACCGGTGCAAGGGTCATGCACGTCCACTTCCGCAAATTAACTGGGTATACGAGAATGTACGGCCACTGACCGTGGCTAAAAGCTGCAATGCGAGATCAATTTGTCCTTAAAAACATTTTGTGAAAACGATAATCGAATATCAGCTGTGGGGGTAACCGAATATTGCCGGTACCTTGTTGGAGCTGGTTGAGAAATGTCATGTGAGGGCGCACTACTATAAAACTTTGTTCGTCCTACTGCTCTATATCCATGACCTCTATTTTATATTTAGCTCCAATAAACATTTTGGGCAGCACGTGACCAATGGTCCCGTACACACGAAATAAGCGCCTTTGTTAGGGCGTTGGGGAAGAGAGAACTTCAAAACAAACAGCACCATTTGCATCGCGAACATCAAAAAAAAAATAATGTGTCACAATCTTGGCATTTATACAAACTGAGAAAATGACGTGCAACCTCTGTTATAAACTTCAAATGTCAATTTATACAGAGATATTAATAGCAACGGCGTGGGACGAAAAGGGGAATTCTCCGGCATTGTTATAGTTATTCACAGAAAGGATTGGGAAACTAGACTGGAATGTAATACACACAATTTGCAGCGAGCGATTTTTGTTTACATATCTTTATATTGTGACGGAGCACGAAGTGTATGTGATTAATTCAATGAAACCACTTGTCTGTATAATGGCTATATTACATCGAGTTACCCACACTTTGCATATTGGCAGATCCTGATCGCTGATTGGTCAGTTGGACTTAGCCACTATTGTATGGCAGAGTGAATTTGTATTGGGGCTATAGGCTACCGGGTGAACTCAGGGGTAAACAAGCAGCTGGATTTTAGGCAGATGATTAAGATGATTCAAGTGATAACTTAAAGGGAATATACATCATTTGCTTTTGCTGTAATTTTCAGAAATGGATGGAATTGGGGGGTTGGAAATACATGTATATAGCAAATATAGTTACACTGACTTTTTTTGAGGTTTTGGGTTCGAAAATGCTATAAAAACCAAGAAAAACAATCATTTTCCTGTAGTCTGGTTCCCTGACTTCATATAAGAAGAAACAGAGCAGTTTACATACATTGGGGAATTGTAAGGTCAAGGAACCAGTCTAGCTGGCTAGTTTGTAATTGATTGCAAACAAGTGCATTGGTCAATTGGGGCCAGTATTTGAAAAAAAAAAACCGGGTTTTTTTCCAACGCTGATCGGCCGATCAGCGTTGGAAATTGATACAAAAATACCACTTTTCTTGAAAATGACAGTATACCAGGTGCCACAATTTTACAGGATGCTTTACACTGTCATTCACTAACAGTCCAGCAAGGTATTTCAAAATGATTTAGTAGTTTTATTTTTGATGTTTGCAAATGTTGTATTTTCCCTTTAATGATTGGAACAAGTAACTGGGGTTTAAGTAATACTAGACCAATAAGGATGATGATGAGGATTGATTAAAGGCTTGACCATTGTTTGTGATCTTATGACTCCGATTCCACTCATTCCACTGGCTCAAATTATTGCTACTTAGACTTATAATCGCCGAATGTCAGGGCCGAAGTCCCAGGGTAGATAAAAGGGCCTGAGAGGATTACAAATCCCAAGGATTCCTCCTCCCTACTCCCCTTCCGCAATCCCATTCCACAAACCCCTTCCACCTTCAATCGGCGGTATTCCACCGAGGATTCCACTGACGGTATTCCACCGAGGATAACTTGTGCCGTGGCCCACCGCTGCGGGGACAGGACGCCATCGAGGCGGCACGCTACTTATCAAACCAGCCTGACGAAGGAGAGCTGGCACGACAACGTCACAATAGGATACAGTATCTAAAACTAAATTGTTCCTTCATTTGTTTGGATTCTGAACGTTAGAATTATCATCACAACTCATATCTCAGAATCGATCTGACAAAAATCTCTTGTATTTGTAAAAAAAAATCCCTGGCAGATATCATTATTACCTATGACAAAGTTCGATTCTGAGTACTGAAAAGAGGTTAATTTTAATTGATTGTATAATTAATTATGTAGCCTAGTCACTGTTCCTGTTCATTAAGGAAATACAAATCAGACGGCATAAAGGTTAATTATAAATACGCGACTGTCACACAAGTAAGCAAATTATGAGCCAGTATTTCGTTTGGCACACAGCCCCACTGGATGTTGTTGACTCAAACGCGAACTCATTTTATATTCATGGTTTCGTAAACCCATTCTACTTTCTAGATGGCATTCATTTATTGCAGAATTCAGTTGTGCTCCTACCACAAGTTCAATCAGAACGTGACCCTTATACGCTTGGCTTACTCGCAACTGCGCATGTATTTTGTCGGAGGCCAGATAACTGTTCTTCATTCTGGAACATGGCGACTTTTGCGTTTCGGTTTGTGATCTAGTTACCCAATTTACGTCCCGGTAAACATATTCTGTTGAACAAAACATACCATGGCATCATCTCCAAAATGTCGTCTCCTAGTTTCGGTGTTTTTGTGGGCTTGTGCCATTCTTCACACAGGTAAATATACAGTTAAATATATCAAAATTACAACCCGGAAATGAAATAAATAAAATGTCAGTGTATCCGTATATTGTGCCAATATCTACATATACTATGTACATTATCGTCATTTTGATTGAACGTAAGAGGAAATTCTTCGGAACTTTCACAAGTGGAACTAACACACGGATAAAATATTCCTTACACTACTTCAATCTAAAACACTTTGTTGAACCAAAAGTATGAAACATTCTGTTTTTTTAACGAATAGCCGAACGCAGTAAACAAAAATGTGTAAAAAAAAGTTTAAACTCCCCTCGTAATAAAGTAATGGTGATTTAATAAATTGACCATCCTTTACAAGGCAAAATACTTTGGCTACAACTGTTTTTCTTTTTGATCAGCCTATTTTGTTTTTCTTTTTACGTTTACAAACGGTGCTATTAAAACGTGATTTTCTATGTGGCATATTCCTATGAAGGTTACGCCTAACTCTCGTACCATCTAAATGCTAACAACTATTTAACCTATGAATTGTCTTTTGTTATATGATTTTCACCTCTGTGCTCAATACAGTTTCGGTCTTATTGTTTTGTTTTTGATTGTAGGTTTATCGGCTGATCTGGATCTGCGAAACAAGCCGGCCACGCAGATTAGCACTTACCCTGGTGGTTATACTGCAGACCTAGCTTTAGACGGAAATATCACAACCTTTTCATTAACAGGTAATTATTTTCTAAATTTTCAAAAACAATATTAGGCTCTCCGTATATAAAACCCTAAGGGGACGATTTGAAGTTAAGTTCCATATATTTAAATAATGTTTTTCCTAGATCGAATCGGAATATAATGTGTCTCGCGTAGCTTTATAAAAGTCTACTGTGTACAAGACGACGTAGTAGATTAAACACATATCGTATGAAGGCGTCTTAGGTATAATAGTAAGTATTTATTAAATTATTTCTTCGTTGTTGGCCTACTAATGTTTTCAGTCTTGTTCCCGCCGTTAAAGGTTGCAAGGCCAATGATTTTGCCTCAAAAGAATATAAATTTGAAGTGCATAGCTAGTAAGACATAAGAGGAAAATGTTAAGTTCAACCTCGTACGCAAACCTGACAATAGATGCCAAAACGTTTCAAAATGATAAAAGCATTTCTGCCCTTTTATTGAAGAAGTCAATCCTATCATTCATCTGCAAATCTGTCCAAAAGTTAAGATTGTTTCAAATGATGGCAGATGACCTGCGGAGTTAGTATTGTCAAGTGGCGTATCAAGCAGGTCATTGTAAGGGGGGGGGGGGTGAGGTAGACATAAAAAGCACTTTCCTCATCCATTTCTATGGGGGCGCTGTTCAAACTTGACGATCATGTGCACTATCGCACAATGGTGGCGCTTTTCATTCATTGGCTCACTCATTACGATTTATTACACATAAAGATCAAACAGCAAAGTGGGATTAACAAGTGAAAAACAAATTTATACAAGGGAACAAACAGTAATGACTATTTTGACGTTGGTGGCGCCACTTACAGCCCTACTATACTACTCGAAAAAAGGCCAAATACATATCAATAAGGTCAAATCGTGGGACTAAAATAAAAAAATACCAAATAAAACCAAAAGGTTAAGCCCCCCCCCCCCCCACTTGGGTGCGCCACTGCCACCGTGCTCATCCCTCCTGTTTACCCCTCTAGTTTGTAGCCACTGTTTTGATAAACCACATTTAATGAATAATACACATAATGGATGCAATTTATTTTAATGAAGGGTAACTTGGTGTTTTGTTAATGAATTCAGGTTATAACAGAGACCAATGGTGGAGAGTTGATCTGGAGAGTACGTACTGCTTGACAAGAATCACTATAGTCAACAGAAATTTTTTGGGTAAGTCTAATACTGCGTGTGTATTAGCAAGTAAAAGTGTAAATTATAAATCAATTTTCTAGTGTGGGCAGTCATTTCAAGACCTGTTATATATTTTGAGGAAATCTGTTTCATCAAGTTACTGCAATTTCCTGACTATCACTGTAATTTGTTCACATCTACTGACCATTCGAAAGAAAGATCACGTGGCCTCAAATGGCGGCATTCGTCAGTTTTAACACACGAAACAAAAAAATACAAATAACCGAATCCTTACAAAATGGAGTTCTCCATTAGTCTAGAATCAACATGTGACTTCATGTGTCGTGTATGTTTTTTTTTAGTCCGGAAGGCATTTCTTCTCTATCACATCAGTGCAAATAACGAACCGTATTTTTGGTCTCCCTATTTTTGAAAAAAAAATGATGTTAGCGACTATGGTAATTTGAAATCAAGGGCATTCTTGATATGTGTTTTATGTTAATTCATTCAATGTAAAGAGATCAAACAACCGCTATTAAACAAAACACACACCTCAAAGATGACTGCACACGCATATAGGTATTATTGCATCGCAATTATGAAATCAAAAGATTTTCTTCCATTCACGTGAAAGTTATATTCAGCAATACACTGTATGAATCGGATTTATTATGCAAATATGACTACAACAAAGCCTCCAGCAGCCGGTTGACGCTATGCAGCTGCTTGTGACTGAAATCAGACTTTCAGGAAACAATGATTAACATTCACTTTACGTTGGTAATTTAACGCCTTGTAAACAGCCTCGATTGTCATTCAAACAAGAGTTACAATAAGTGCCGAATGACTGACACACAAGCAAAAGTAATTTTTACTGCAACCCATGTTCTCACAAACAGATTTTCCAAATACTATACTGATGGGACTTCATTGCAGGTTTGCGACTGACGGGTGCTGTAGTTTGTGCTGGTGTGAGTTCAACTCACTCCCAGAACACACAGATAGGATCTGCAGTCACAAGTACCCAGGCAACTAAACGGAGCAGTGCTATCACTTTTTGCAGGTTACTTATTATCAGGTGCTGTAGTTCGTGCTGGTGTCAGTTCAAATCACTCCCAGAACACACAGATAGGAGATGCAGTCACAAGTACCCAGGCAACTAAACGGAGCAGTGCTATCACTTTTTGCAGGTTACTTTTTATCAGGTGCTGTAGTTCGTGCTGGTGTCAGTTCAGATCACTCCCAGAACACACAGATAGGTGATGCAGTCACAAGCGATCAAGCATTTGACGGAGCAGTGATTAATTTCACATCGAACCAACCCATCTCTGCTCGATACGTTAGTGTGGAACAGTCGGGGAATTACCTTAGTCTGGTTGAAATCAGGATTAGCACAGAAGACATCATTGCAAGCGGTGAGAGAAGACTTTGTGAATGAAGACTTAATAATCTCCACATTTCGAATCATGGTGACCGAAAATATAACATTTGCATTTATGCCATTTTGGTAATTACCCCCTCCCCCCACCAATATTGTGTAAAGGCTGCCTTTTTCCATTCAAATGCCTTTTTTTCAACGGGCTTACCCCCCTCCTCAATAATTTGCAAAGAGTGCCCTTTTTTACGAAGTGCCCTTTTTTCAGAACAAGTGCCCTTGGTGCATTTTTTTGTGGCATCGGCCGTTTTGGGTGCCTTTTCAGAATTTCGCACATGTATCGCCCTAAAAAAAACACCATATATTGGCCCGTTGTGTGCATAATTGAAGGTTTTGAACAGACCCGCTTTTTGATTTTACGGAGGCCAAGTGTCCGGAGAAAAAAATCTGTCTACATTTCACAACGGATGTGGAAGTGCCCTTTTCAAAACATTTTAAACCCCCCCCCCTTCCCAATAAAAATGACCGTGCTACGCCCCTGTGATATAAAACAAACAGTCTTGACCATATTTTCACTGACAAACCAAGTCTTACGGCCACAGAAAGAAATATTGTATCAGTTTGAAAAAAAAGTTGATAAGAAGCAAGTCCAATATGCAGATTGGCAGCCTTATAAAGGATTGTATTTGGTTGCAGTTTCCATCGAGATTCCAATCGGTAGCTAAAATGCAGGATATTTTGATATTGTCCCGTCAATTAGATTCAGCAAATATGGCTCGCCTAAAGTATGCGACGAATTAAATTGGCGTGCTTTCTTCAACAACATGCTTTAGACCTATAGACTTACATAAGTAAAATTGGCTGGTCAATGATATTCACAAGTACCTTTTTGTACTCATATGAAGTAATCACGTACTTTTTTGGCCGAAGTAATGCAAACAACTGTGGGTTCTAACAGTTTGACAGTCAGCTGCACATGTTTAACTCTTTTTTCCATAGTAACGCCAACAAATGTCGACGCTACTAGTGTGACAGTCAGCTGGTCTACCGTGCCATGTGCTGATCATTACAGCGTGCAGTATGCCCTGACCAGCAGGGATAACTGTGAAAGCATCAATACACCAGCGTATAGCAGCCACTGCATGTGTCAGGGAAACATGACAACTATAAACAGTCTGATGCCAAACTCCGGGTACACTGTACAAGTCAAGGCTTATGTATATGGTGCATACGGACCAATAAAAACAGCAATGGTCACTACCCCATCATCAGGTATGGCACTATAGGTTTTACGGTCTTCAGTCTTTTGGCTTGTATGTCGTAACTTATTGTCTTCATCCAAATGCAGTATCTCTAACCCTCTGGTACTTATTTGATATTGCAGCACCGACTGGGCCTCCCACTTCTGTGACACCTGGGTCTCAGGCCCAACGCAGCCTAGCCTTCTCCTGGAGCCTCCCAGCGTGTGGAAGCCGAGGGGGTGTCATCACAGGATACGACTATAGGCTTAGTACAAGTGGCGTTGCACCAATGACTGGTCAGACTACAGCTGGTCCCTCTGGTGGAGCAGTTACAATTTTTGGACTTACTCCCTATACTTCTTACAGTTTTCAAGTTGATGCAAGGACTAATGATGGGACTGGACCGTACAGTGCGGCTGTGACATCAAGAACGCAAGAAGCAGGTAAATCTATGTTTCTTGTTGTTCTTCCTCAAACTAATTTCCCTATCTCCATCTTCTCCGTCTCAATTAGGTTTGATTCTAATTTGGATGCGGTTGTCTTGCGGTTGTTTATGGATTCTATACACAAATAACCCCTCGAACAAAACAGATAAACACGCCGGAAATAAAAGAAATTCATTTAAATCACTAAAGTTTTATTCCAAAACGCACTCATTATTGGTTGATTGTTTCGTATTGCAAGGTACCGATATTTTAAATCAGTTGCAAGAGCAAATACAATATTTGTTTCGTGTTCGATTTCAACAGAGCCCACAGTTCCCCGCAATGTTCACGTCCAGTCGAGAGATGACATGTCTGTCAGTCTGGGCTGGAGTGAACCAGATCCACCCAATGGACTTATCTTGCGCTACAATGTTCGCTATTGGAGGAGTAGAGACATGGGAACCACGCAGACCAATTCCAATGTGGTGGGGCTGACGCATCGTGTCACGGGACTTGCTGCCTTTGTAACATACACATTCCAGGTCTCTATTCACTTTATCAAATGGAATACACTATATCATTATACATCATGAATACAATGGACAGTTTTATTGATGATCTCAATTATTGCATGGCATAATCGATACATTGAAATACACATAAAGTTATTTTACACTTAACTGTATTTTTCGAAGCTATTGAAGCATAACTGATCTTTGTGCTTGAGGAGCACATGTCATGTTAATCATTTTCGTCTGAAGGATAGGAATTGCATTAAGTAATACAGTTTTGTTTTGTTCTTCAGGTGCAGGCTGTGACGTCTGCAGGTGCTGGCCCTTGGAGTGTACAAATCGATGCAACAACACTGCAAGCCGGTGAACTGATTTCTTTGTTCTTGTGTCCAAACCTTTTATGTAACTCAGTTTGATTCATACCCTTATGCAATCGTCTAAACTCAAATTTAATAACTTGAGCATAAACGCAAACTAAATGTGATAATTTTTTTGTGTACTTCCAACAGCGCCAACAGTTCCCTTAGATGTTCGTTCCCAGTCAGTTGATAGCGTTTCTGTCAGTCTTAGCTGGAGTGAACCAGATCCACCGAATGGACGCATCACACACTACAATGTTCGCTACTGGAGGAGTGGAGACATGGGAACCATGCAGACTGACTCCAATGTGGTGGGGCTGATGCATCGTGTCACGGGCCTTGCAGCCTTTGTAACATACAGATTCCAGGTCTCTGTTCATTTTATCAAATGGAATAAACTACAATCACTGTACAAGTACTTCATGATTCTCTTTGACGAAACTAACATATTTTCCACACTGAAAGATTCCATTAATTATTCCAATTATTTCAAGGTAGACGAACTGCCTGATTGAAATAATCGATACATTGGAATTCACAGGTATTAAACATAACGCTCACCTAATTTTTTTTTCTCAAAGCAAATACAGGATAGCTCATCGTTGTGCTTGAGGAGCACGGGTCATTTAATCTTTGTCGTTTGTAGGATTTAAATATTAATAGACTACCTGCAAAAATAATGTTATTTTGTTTTTCAGGTGCAAGCTGTGACGTCCCCTGGTGCTGGTCATTGGAGCGAACCTATCGAAGCAACGACACTGCAAGCTGGTAAACTAACTTCGTTTTGTGTGTGTGCTTTGTTTCACATGTGCAAATCTTCTAAAATTCTTCTCCGACTAAACCTGTTTTCACAATTCAGTTCGACTCCTACCTCTAATACACAATCCTCTAAACGCGTATGTACGCTATTAAATTATATAGCGACTTAACACACAATACATGTAATGTTATATTGACTCGTATTTCAACAGCACCAACCGTTCCCTTAGATGTTCGTATTCAGTTAGAGGATAACGCTTCTGTAATCCTGAGCTGGAGTGAACCAGATCCACCGAATGGACGCATCACGCACTACAATGTTCGCTACTGGAGGAGTGGAGACATGGGAACCATGCAGACCGACACGAATGTGATGGGGTTGATGCATCGTGTCACGGGCCTTGCAGCCGGTGTAACATACCAATTTCAGGTCTTAACATGAAATCACTTCCTTTTATTCTTTATGTCTTTCCCACAGTTTCATTAATATCCATCAGTTAACGACACATTGACACAATCAATAATATGAATGTTATTGTTTGCATACATTATTCGCGATCTATTTCGAAATCAGCAAAACATAAATTGTGCTCTTCCAGAATTCAAGTGATTTGAAACAATTATGTCCGATGTTTTGAACCTAAAATAAACTTGTAGGGTTTAAAAAAAATTGGTGCAGGTTCAAGCTGTGACGTCTGCTGGTCCCGGCTCTTGGAGTGACCCTATCGAAGCAACAACAGCAACCGGAGGTAGACAATCGTGAACAATCTTTCTCATTGTATTCATAATAAATTAACATGTAGTTTCCATGATCGCTTGGTATTCTATAAAAGTTGTGATCATCATATGAAAGATATCGCCATTATGTGATTTTTCTTTTCTTGAGTTCCTGGACCTGTTCGGAATCTAAATGTCACAGTGAGGACAGAGACGTCAATCACTTTAACCTGGATCCCACCCCTGCAACCTGGAGGAGTCATCACTGGTTACATAGTATGTTGTTGTTTCCATTTTTAATGATGTCAGGGCCCTATGGAAGACCACTGAATGGTGAATATAGGCAATTCTGGATATATCAGAAATAAATAAATGTAGCCTTTCGAAATTGTATAGAATTAAACAATTCGCATAAAGAAAGTGTCTCCTATTATCGAATTTTCAGAAGTCAAAAAGGAAAACATACAGAGTTTGGGGCTGACATCCAAGTTCCTGATGTGGAGGACGTGAGCATTTTGTGTATTACACCTCGACATCTGGAGATAATATGAAAGGTCCCTCTCCCTTTTGTTAAACCGGCATCCATAAATAATGGGATTATAAAGAAATCAAGCTCTCAATCTATTGTCTTAAATGTTCTTTTGGTAGGTTGAGTACCGTATCTTGGAGAGGCCTTATCAACCAGATTTCACAGCAGGGGATACATACGAAACCAATGAAGCTCAGAATTCACCCTTCACAATAACCAACCTGGAACCTGGTACTAAATACGAGTTTAGGGTGTTGGCGAAGAACGAAATTTTTACAGGAACTGAGCACCGAATTTTGGAGGTTTACTCAAAGCCGATGATGGGTAACACTATTTTCGTTTGAATTTTAATTACTGATTGTCAATATGTGTTAAACCTGTGCGATACGCCTGAAGATCAAGACAACTGCCATGAAGGTGGGGTTTAAAATCCGTTTCGAAATGCAACCTTTGGCGATTACAGCGAAAGATTGTCTTGTTTGGCCTATAATATGTAGCACATAACGGAAAGGTTAGGTAAAGTTCGGTTTTTAAATTGCATCAAGAGAAACACATATCGGCTCAGAACGAAATCTTGACAAGAACTCTAAAAACTTGACTGGTGTATACAAAGCCACAATCAGGTATGATGTCTGTGTCACTTAGTATTTATAAACTTCAATCGATCATAAGATGAAAACAGGCGTATAGAATACTTTTCAAAAACCATCGGTGCAAAAAATGACTGATTCCTCTGTGTGTCTTGAGAATTGACTTTAACGTCTACTCGTTTTCCAAAGACAGAAAAAACAACAACAACAACAACAATGGCCGACTGTTTCCACTTTTTAAATATAAAGTAAATATATTTTGTGATAAAATACAGAAAATTCAACTTAATTTCTATTTTATCGCAAAATAAATTTACTTTATATTTATTGTATATTCACCCATCTGAAACTAAATGACAAGGACATTAAATGAAAAACCGCAAACGTTTAATTTCATCAGATCCACCTGCTCCACCCAAACCCATTCCAATTCAAGAGAGAACAACAGACATGACAGTCACACTTAGTTTGGCAGCTCCAAGGTCTGCTGTGTACATTGAGTAAGTCAACAGAAACAACCCTTTTGTTTAGAAAAAAGACCTTTCGATTATAGATATACTTTTAACACAAAAACCTATTATAGCAAAATATAAATGGGCTCTAGTTGTAGAGCATCTACCGACGTGTTTGAGTTTGCTTATCATGGATTTTTAAACCTGACCCTCGTTACGATCGTTAATTGTCTTAAGTTGCATCATTCACCTGCAATGCTTAATATCCATATTAGGCACATTTCGATATGTTATGGTATAAGGTAACTGTTTAAAATGTAATACATGTATTAGACAACATCACGTATTAGTCAACAACATGTATTAGACAACATGCTACGTTAAAAATCATGTATTTTCAGTTAAATTTGTATTATTACATTTTGTTACAGATCATACGTTATTCGGGTTAAGAAGACTGGTACATTGTCTGTGACCAAAAGAGAAGTTACGAGACGTTCAGAGGACCCGGTTGACGGTTATATTGCAGCTGAATTTCCTAAGAATAGCCTTCCTGCTGAATTCGTAGTCGGAGACTCTAAGATGTATGGCGGCTACCGGAACGCACCGCTGCAGCGAGATGCTGTGTACAACATCCTAGTTGGGTCTGTTACCAAAGGCAACGAAACTGTGAGTTTCCATAACAATGTTTTGCCTGAAAATGTTCAAAAAACATAATAATGTTTTGCTCGAAAAAAATATCAACGAATGCTAAATTATTGGCTTACGCTGGAGGGTCGCATTAAGCGTGTCTCTTATTCTTTTTCTATTCTCTTATTCTAGTAGGGACGACGCTTTCGTAGCCCAATAGAAACACGCACAAGTAAACAAAGTGCACGTCATCAATACAGAGGTTTATTGAGTTCATGAAAAGTCCACTCATAGCAACACGGCGATTTTAGAAGCTGATATGGTTCCCATTTTCAATTACAGTTCTTTATGTTTATAAAACTCTTGGCAGAAGTGATTTATTTTCCTATTTTATGTTCCCGATGTTTTTTACCAAATTAGTGATACCAGTTTCTTTCACGTTCTTTAGTTACATATAATGTCGTACTTACAAATTTCTTCGTATCGCTCACTTTGAGTCACATTGTCGTTCTGCAGGAAGCCACGGTAACATATTCAGAGCCACTGACAGTTATTGGTTAGTATATATGGAGAATTTATTACAGAAGAGCAAAATACGGTAAAAGTGCTATGAAAATATCTTACTTGACTGAAACTTCTGAATTTGTTTTAAGTGCAAAAACCATCGGCGAGCAACGGAATCACTATTGCTGCTGTCGTGGGTAGTGTGATAGTATTCGTCTTGGTCCTAATCATTGTCATCGGTTGTGTGGTGTGGAGAAGAAAAACTCGCCAACATGCATCAAATAGTTCTCTAGTACCTAGAACTATGGAACTGGTAAGTGACTCTCATAGCATGCAATTGGGTATTGATTTTTTTCATGTGATCATTTGTTTGATCTAGTTTTGAACTGTAAGGTACACAACTAGGATTGTTTATTGGATGAGTTCACGTGTTGGCTCTGATGCCTGATTTCTACAGTGTTATTGCCAAAACTAAAAAAACCAAAATATTTCTTCTGTCATTTGAGCTAATTGACTTCAACAAATGTGCTACACTTACTTACAATCAGTGTCAAGATTGATTACAAGATGTTTTAACAGACCCTTGAATAAATTATTGATTGTCCAGCTTCATAGGGAATTCCTTAATGTTTTTATTTATTATTTCCTAGGTTGCCAAACCTACAGCCTACGAAAACTACCCACCAAGAGCTAACAACCCCGATGGCGATATATATGAGGATGTTGGGCTTCCCGCTTGGGCCAGGAAACTGGAAATCAAATGGGAGAATTTGATCATCGATGATGAGATTCTTGGTAAAGGTAACTTTGGCGAGGTACGGGCAGGAGGCGTGAAGATTAAAGGGAAAGTCACCAAAGCAGCCATCAAAACTCTCAAAGGTAACTGTACTCATGATTAGGATAAACACATCATAATTGCTGGTTCCAGAGGGCCAGTCCTGTGTTGTGTTACTTCCTGATGTACTCACCGGCTGACTCACTCAGTGACTCACTGAATGTCACATGTGATCCCACCAGAGCTATGGAACCAATTACCCTGCAACGACAATGAATTGGCTAAACAGATGTATGAAGAAGCTTCAATGAAGCTTCTTACTTCCTGACGTACTCACCAACTGACTCACTCACTGACTCACTCAGTGACTCACTGAATGTCACAGGTGATCCCACCAGAGCTATGGACCCAATTACCCTGCAACGACAATGAATTGGCTAAACAGATGTATGAAGAAGATTCAATGAAGCTTCTTACTTCCTGACGTACTCACCAACTAACTCACTCACTGACTCACTCAGTGACTCACTGAATGTCACAGGTGATCCCACCAGAGCTATGGACCCAATTACCCTGCAACGACAATGAATTGGCTAAACAGATGTATGAAGAAGCTTCAATGAAGCTTCTTACTTCCTGACGTACTCACCAACTGACTCACTCACTGACTCACTCAGTGACTCACTGAATGTCACAGGTGATCCCACCAGAGCTATGGACCCAATTACCCTGCAACGACAATGAATTGGCTAAACAGATGCATGAAGAAGCTTCAATGAAGCTTCTTACTTCCTGACGTACTCCCCGACTGACTCACTCAGTGACTCACTGAATGTCACATGTGATCCCACCAGAGCTATGGACCCAATTACCCTGCATCGACGATGAAGGGGCTATAAACAGATGCATGAAGAGGCTTCAAGGAATAGCCATGCTGAATCAATAACATAAAACTGTATGCGTTATGCAACCACTGACTGAGAGAAAGACTGACTGAAGTTCAGATAATATCCTAAATCAAGGTTTTAGGCTCCAGCTTGGCAAACCTTGTGTTGTTCATCATTCAAGTATTGACGATGCGACTTCCTTGTTTGTCGGTATACTGTATTTTCATTTGTCTTTAAATATCTGCAATGTTTTGCATCACACTGTAACATACTCATTTTTAAAAAAAAGTAGAATTAATATAATGAATTAAATAATGAACTGTAAAATATTTAGGGCAGTCAGCTGAGAATAATTTTTGAAAGAAACCTTAGGACTGATATTTGTTTCCTTTTCTATATACAGACAGCACCTCTGATGCTGCTACGGACTTCAAGGCGGAGTTGCAGACGATGGTAGGAATCACACCACACCCTAATGTTGTACGTCTCCTTGCCGCATGTTTTCAAGAAGGTAAACTAATCATGGTTTCTATACCAAAAGTCAACCCAATGTTTGACATTTTGTAAATACTTTCCACAATTCAATACTGGGCCTTTGGCAAGCCAGAATTGAACAAGTAAAGCTACTGGAATAAAAATATGTCTCCAACATTAATGTTATCAACGGAAATTTTACCTTTTAAAGTTCAAACCACTATTTTGATTAAAGACAACTAATACCGGTTATTCCACAACTTCCATACAGTTTAATCGTTAAGAACACACACAATCAACATTTTGCTCTGCTTGAAACCAGACAACAGGACATACTTTTAGGTGGAAGGCGTAAGTTAATTGGCCGACCGCACTTTCGTCAATTTGAATTTCGGTTACCCTATATACAATCACAACATAAAGCAAGGCAAGTTCAAAACCATAGTCTTGTAATTTATTGAAAGGTAAGCTAAATAGTTTGAAAAACGACCACTAATCCTAATTATTCTAGCTTCGATGTAGCTTACACGTTAGTAACAACTGTTAAGATATAGACACGTGGACATACTTTTGGGTAGAAAGGGCAAAGTGTATTGGCCAACCGGACTTTGTCAATCTAAATTTGATAACCTTACGCAGTATAAAGCGAGGCTTTTTCAAAAAAAAACTTGTAATTATTTGTCTTATCAAAGGCATTCTTTATGTGGCGCTGGAGTTTCTTCCCAATGGCAATCTTCGTGATTATCTGAGGAGCATTCGCCCGAAGCAGAAAGGAGCTGGCCACTCAACTGACGGAGCATCTCCGCTGACTTCTTCAAACTTGGTGAAATTTGGCACAGACGTTGCCAAGGGGATGGATCATCTCTCTAAGGCAGGGGTAAGAAGTCTATTATTCCCTTTCGTGAGACAGTCCAAAAGTCTTCGACCTCCTGCATGTGTTTGCTTGAATGCCACCGCTCTGTTGTGATTCTGATCACTTGCAGCATTTTTTTGAGGGATTTTTTGAAAGAACGTTATTTTTTAATCGTTTCTACAGTTAATATAACTTGCAAAGAAAATTCCAAACGATAGTTGAAGAAAGCTTCAGTTTGAAGCCCATTCGAGCTTTCCAAATGTTTAGTCAGTATTTTACTGATGATGTTCATATCCCTTTCCATCCAAACGAATCTCCCAGGGAGAAGGTCTATTTCCAAAGTCTAGTGTGGTTTGTTTGTGGCTTGCAGTTATATAATTGTTAGATAAGTGCAAATGGTCGATTGAAATACTTGTCTGTTTTATAGATCATCCACCGCGACTTAGCTGCAAGGAACATCCTTCTCTCTGAAGACCTGACCGCCAAAGTGTCTGATTTCGGCCTTTCCAGAGGGGAGGACATCTACGTTCAGAAATCCTCGGTAAAGTACAGAGTGACTTTATACGAGAGAACAGAAAGTAACTCAATTGCGTTTAGTGAATGTTGTAACAAAAATATATATTTCATTTTATGAATTGAGTTAAAAATATATAACAGTATCTTCTTTGATTGTAGACCAGGATTCCCGTTCGCTGGTTGGCCATCGAATCGTTGACGCGTAGTGTCTACAAGTCCAAGAGTGATGTGTAAGCCAAAGCAACATACTTTCGTCACGGAATTTGATTCTCACGCAGTTATTTTAGAACACGCAAATAAGCTTGAAGCATTTTGTTCATTTGTCCAAAAAAAAGTCAAGCAAAATGAGTTTCTGTTGTATTGCTATTAAAGGTAAAATCCATCATTTGTTATTTGTGCATTTTGTTCGATTGGAGCCATAGCTTGCTCAAAATCTAAAGAAGGATGCTGAACAACTAACCTGATGAAAGTTCAGCTCAGCTTCAGCTGTATATTCCGCGAAAAACAACATTCTAGGATCTCAACTTCAAATCAAAAGTTGCTGAATCGTGTTTTGAATTGGGCCTGTATTCAGCGTCCGAGACACGTTCCCACTGAGTTCTCTTCAAAATGAGAGCTTGCCAGAAAGAGTAATTTCACAGGGACTTTAGTCCCCTTACTATATTTCAACTATGTTTTTCAACAATTATTACGTAAGTTATATTTTGGATAGCTGCAAATGATGGACTTATGCTTTAAAACTGTTTCTATTTTTAAATTTTTGAATAATGTGTGTGTCCACTGTTTATCTTTTAGGTGGTCGTTTGGCATCTTGCTGTGGGAAATAGCGACATACGGTAAGTTATGTGAGCTATGATAACGATACTTCTCTGCTTCTCTAAACTTGCTACCTATGCTAATGCATCGAAAGTACCTTTGAGATTTGCATCTACTTTTTGATAATCACCTTTAGGATCCACTCCGTACCCTGGTATTGCGAGCGAGTCACTGGCCCATAGACTGCTGGAGGGATACCGCATGCCCAAGCCGGACAACTGCGCCGATGAAATGTAAGTAACAAATACTGCTCTCCGTCAGCAGTATGACTGAAGTTTTGAATTAACATTCACTGAACTATTCGAATATAAAACTTTAAAAAACTATTGTTGTAATAATGATAAATAAGAATGTATATTGAGATGGAATTTGCGTCGGGGTGATATAAATCAAATTTAAGTAGCCAAGTATACAGTGTTTAAATGTCGGTGAAGGGCAAAACCTCATTTGATAAATAAGAATTTATTGTTCAAAAGGTAACAATTTCAAGTGGACAGACGATTTTCAGAAGTTTTCTGTGGGCAGCGATCTATGACGCAGGAATAAGAAGTTCAGACCTACTTGGGTAACTGTGACAGGTGTTGATTTAGACTCTCACTGGGACTTTCATTTTAGTTTTCTTTGTATTTGTATTGATTCAGTTACAATCTGATGTTGAAGTGCTGGCATGAGGTGCCAAGTGAGCGTCCAACCTTCAAAGTTCTCTGCCAAGCTCTCGAGACAATGAACTCCAAGTCGTATGAAAATGTAAGCGTCATGCCAACTTGAAAATCAGATTTCATGAACACTTTTCAGGTTACGGATCTGATAAAAATTGGATATCTCCTTTTACCAAAATGTACGATAGATGCAAATGACAATAGTTATATATCTGGTTTGGCTATTACTCTCAGTACATTAAAGCGCACCATATTTTCTTTGATAAACAGATTTTGTTTCGTTCAATTTTTTGAACAATTCAGCAATGCAATATCTTCTGATTTTTGTAGGTTGTCTTGTCACCGACTGTCTACGAGAACTTCATCATCAAGCATGAGTTTGACGACAACTAGATGACGTCATTACCTTTACGCTGCAATGCATCTTCTTCGAAATAACTCAAGCGAGTGGTTCAGCATTTTTTCAGATTGTGAAGTGTTGAGTTCGTGTTTAAGCACTGACGCAGACTAGAGCATTCATAGCAGCTCATGTTCAAGATTTAGCCTGTTATAAATTTAGAGCAAGACTTAATAAGATTTGTTTTCACTTCTTATCGAATTTACAACTATTTGACGGTTTTAGAAAAAAAACATTTGCACCAGGTTAATAATCGCAGTAGTTGGTTAGAATGTTGTTTAAAGTCTCAAAAAGCTTTCGCAAGAGACCATGTTTCAAAATGTTATATTGCATAGCGAGGACGTTACCATGAAATACCGATGTACATTGTATTGTCTATAGCAGGGTATTTTTGCATTGTAAAATAAGGTGTTGACACCATTGTCTACTGGGATTACCAGTTGTTAAGGCTCAATTGTGTATGTACAAACGAATCTGTTGTGTTCAAACGCTCATATAAATGTTTAGAAAATGAAAAGAATATTCATCGTGTAGCTGTAAGTAAAGGGTTTTTAAGAAAAACTAATATGCATAATATATGGGAAACAGTCGTCAGGCTTCATATATACATTTTGTAATTTTCTTAGTATCGTATTAGAGACACGATATCAGTCGCATCTTTGAATTGCCTAATGCATGTATACTTTGTTTTAGTTTCGATTGATGTGTTATCTACTCAGATTAACAATATTACCTACTCAGATTAACAAGATTAAGACTGATATACCTATATTATGAATAATGCTTAAGAATGAAACTGTAATTTTCTATCACTGACGAACACTTCTTTAAAAATCTACTCTTCAGCTGCTGTATTAATTCTGTTAAAATGCTTTAAATCGTTCTACATTTGACGCCTTTTTGCGGAAAAAAAACATCATTTACCACAAAACAAGTGAAAAAGAGCCTCTTAGTTTCAGTGACAGTGTAAGATCAATTTGTGTACATGGCTTTGATAACAAATTCAATATTTCTGAATGCTTGCATTTAACAGTTTTGCTTCCGTCAATGTAACAACCTTGGGTGGATTTTACACTGTGAATGCACCATTGAAGCAAGCCGTTGATGAATGGGAATGGCATAACTCAAGAATATTGGATTTTTTTGGGAATTAAAAAATAACACTTCAAAAATTCATTCACACATTCATCGGTTATAAAGATTGATGTATTTTTGTCAAATGTTTCATCGTGTGCAACTGACGGTAATCTTGTTGGAAGTAAATATCGCCCCTGTTGAACAGTTTTACGTGTCAAATAAATAGCGCCCTCTTAATTTCTATGAATGCTACGGGCAGTTAATTTTTACCATTGTTAGAGTGGTGAATTCTTTTCAGGAATATTGGAGAATAAATTTGGCGACCTCATATTTATGCAATCTTATTGGCTAGATTTTGTACTACCAATGCAAGAGTCACACTCCGGTCCTCAATAGCTGGATCCTGCCCTGCGGAGGCCATTTTCCTTTCAAAACATAGTGTGAAAACGATAAGCGACTATTAGCAGTGGGGCAACCGCGAATATTGCTTTTAACTCGGCGCACAACTTGAGACTTTGCTCGTCCTTAGCAGCCTCTCCATAGCTATGACCTTTCCATGCTTTTGAAGTCTTATTCGTGTCGTTCTTATTAGATATATGATACTAATATACACGTTGTGTATCTCGGGAACAGCAGTGACCAATCACCAATGCAAAAAAATATGGTTTCTTCAACGTCTGCAAAAGGCGAACACTTTACGAATGCAATCACAACTAGAATCAAATCAGCTAGAATTTATTGGGTTCCAAAAGTGGACCCCGAAATTTGTTTTTGCACGCTTAAAGGAATAATACGCAAACGCCCAGTTTTTAAAGGATAGTTGTGTGGATATTTATATCCTACTTTTAGATGTTCTTTCCAATTAACATCATCTCGTTCAAAGTGCGTTTTGTAGCCCAATTGGGCTGTTCCAGGACCCAGTGTCCCTTTAAGTAAACAAAACTCAGACAGCATGGAGACTAACGATTATAATGCGCAACAATTTGTTTAATTTATTCGAGGTCTGTGTGTGGTTTGGCTCACAGCTGTACTGGATATTGTTGACTCATCTCATATGAAATGATCTCATTGCATATTCACCGTTTTGTGATCCCTTTCTATCTTATCAACGGCATTCACGTCTACATGAATTCTTGTGCTCCTACCACAAGTTCAATCTGAACGTTTGGCTTGCTCTCGCAACTTTGCATGTATTTTGTCTGTGACGGAGGCCAGTTACCTTCTATTTTGTGCGGAACATGGCGGCTATCGCTTTTCGATTTGTAATCCAGTTACCCAATTAGCTTCCCAAAACATCATTTCCGTTGGACAAAATACATCATGGCTTCATCTCCGACATTTCGTCTTCTAGTCCTGGTGTTTGTGTGGGCTTGTGCCATTCTTCACACAGGTAAATATACAGCTTCATATACACCCCGGAAATAAATTAAATTTTAGCGATGTATTTTGTGACAATGTACATGTGATATGTTTATATCGCCATTTTCATTGAGGTAAGGCAGGCAATTTAGACAAAATGGAACCAAGTTACTGACATGATGTTCTTCACAAAATTTTAAGCTTAAAGGGCCCATGAAATAAATTTGTTTTAATGCAAACATTGAAATTATACCTTTGCGTCCCATTTAACCTTATTTCCAATTTTCATTTTGCCATTTTCAAGGGTATTTTTGTATCTTTTTGGTTTAAATGCTAATTAATGGAATTTCCATATGACATGAGCAAAAGGGTGATGTCATATCAGGCATAAACCTCAATGTTGCAATTACGTTATGCCTAAAAAGTTGCCAACATTTTGGATGTTTCGCTGTCGTAAACTTGCTTTTCATTAGTGATTTGTTGTTTTGTCAGTTCATGGCAGCAAGCCAATTAGCAAACTTGTCTCACAAATGTTTTCAATGGGCATTTTTGGGGTTTCACGACACCTAATATGAGCAGTTCCTTCCTGAAATGAAATCACGTTAAAAAAATTTAAAATGTTTAAAGAAGTGCACTTTCCTCGATAATATTCACTTCATGAGCCCTTTAATCATGTGAAACAATTCGTTGAAAAAAATGTAGGGGGAAAAGAGAGAGAAGAAGAAAATGGATAGCTGAACAAGATGCAAATGTGAACATGGGCGTGTTGGAAAATTGTTACCAGATTATTTTCATATATAAAATGGGATGTTATCTCACTTTTAAATTGCAACAGCTCAGAAAGGCAAAGGAAAAGGCCTTACGCTTTTCCTACCATCAGTATAACTACAGTTTTTACTCCCTCTCTCGATTTATCCCCAAAGGTTTGCAACTGTCTCACACTCCCTGCTTAGGAAACCTCCCACCACACCTTCAAAGGAGATGGAATCAAGTTATACATGGTGCCTCTATTAAACTCATCAATATTCTCTCTCAGCAGTGTCAATTTACACGCGAGGACCTCCATCAGAATATTTCCCACTTTGACTCCCAACTCAAATCCAGTTGTTCTGACTCCACGTACAGGAATTTCCATGATGAGATTGAAAGGGGTTTGTCTAACCTTGACTCTGTCCTACTCAACAGGAGAAACAAGAAGATTGGTGGCTTGCTTGCCAAGCAACAGCAACGCAGACACAGACGTTTCAGACGTCCTAGGTCCCCATCTACCACGCCACCGCCAGAACCCCCTGTCAACACTGTAGTTAATCTTTCTTCCTCATCAATATCTGACGCAGAGCACAAACTTCTCTCCAAGGGTCTCAATTTTTGTCCCGCTCCCCGTTCTGTGAACCAGGTTCAGCTCAGCCAAGATCTCACGGAATACTACCGTAGAATCCGTCTGCGTGAGTTTTTCCTGGACAGTGAACCGTGTGAGCCAGAGCCTTTTCGAGTCAAGAGTTCATGGGTACCCCCCAAGAATCGTGTGCCAGCCATAGAGACATACGTTCAAGTTATCAATTCCCAAGTCACTAACCCAGACAACTTCCCCCACAGGACTCATGATAATCTCCCCCAGAGAGGAGCGCCTGGCTCTCAACTCCTTGCGCTCTCGCACCGACATCATCATCAAGCCAGCAGATAAAGGTTCAGCTGTGGTCATCATGGATCGTCAGCAGTACATTGATGAGGCCCACCGCCAGTTGGATAATCGCACTAACTATACCCGCCTTGACTCTGACCCCACAGGCACTTTCTGTCGAGATATACAACAGGTACTTGACGATATGCGATCACGTGACCAGTTGTCCAAGAAAGCTCACAAATTTCTTTCTCCCTGTGATTGTAGGACTGCCAGATTTTACCTTCTACCCAAGATTCACAAGGCTGGCAACCCCGGTAGACCAATCATCTCCGGTAATGGCTCACCCACGGAACGCATCTCCCTGTTCATTGACAGTTTTCTCAAACCCCTTGTCCCACAGATTTCGTCATACATTCACGACACCCCAGACTTCCTACGCAAGCTTGAAGGAATCAAGGACCAGATTCCCAGCACAGCCATCATTGGGACTTTCGACGTCTCATCTCTGTACACCAACATCCCACATGAGGAGGGTGTTCGTGCTTGCTCCTTGGCTCTGGCCAAGGCAGGACACACGACTCCTCCCATCAGTGATGTTGGCACCCTCATGAGACTTATACTAACGAAGAACAATTTTTCCTTCCTTGGTGAACACTATCTACAGATACACGGCACTGCAATGGGCACTCGCATGGCCCCGTCGATGGCTTGCCTCTTCATGGGCGACCTCGAAGAACGCATTCTTGCCTCGGCCCCATGTCGCCCTTGGATCTGGTGGAGATATATTGATGATGTTTTTTTCATCTGGACCAGTGATGAGAACAGTCTCTTGACCTTCACTAACCACATCAATTCCTTCCACAGAACCATCAAATTCACATCGGAGTTCTCGGCTCACCAAACCCACTTTCTGGATATCACCGTCCGCAAGCAAGGCAACTCACTAACCACTGACCTGTATTTCAAACCCACAGACACCCACCAGTACCTCCACTCCTCCAGCTGTCACCCCAGGCACTGCAAAACTGGCATAGCGTTTAGCCAGGCACTCAGACTCCGAAGAATTTGTTCTAATGATTCCGATTTCTCCCGCCATACTCAGATACTGAGGAACAATTTGGTGGCCAGGGGTCACAGCTCTCGCCAAGTTCATCGTGCCATTGCCAGAGGTAAAGCTATCCCCAGAAATCTAGCTCTCACGGGAAAGGCCCCTGATGCCATGGCCAAACCCATGATTCCCTTGGTTACCACGTTTCACCCCAATCTCCCTCCCCTTCGCAAAATCACTAATGACAATCATCATATCCTCCATACT